TCTATTGTCTCAAGTAAAGGGCAATTATCATTCGTAATGAAAATTATCTTTTCTAAACAAACCACTTCCAGGTGATTTATTGAAAACGTCAGTTTATCTAATCTGTAATTAATTAATTAAAATTGCGAAATTTTGACAAGGCAATTAATGATTTAATACCTACGTAGGTAAATATTTACCTATTATATATTTACTGAATCAATAATCCAAATTAATCCAAATATCCTGGCATGAACAAATTTTGGAATTTAAATTTAAATTATACCTACTTATATCAGTTATATCAGTTTATGGTAAGTAAGTGGATACAGAATGTTCCAATTTAATAATTAGATTTAGTAGATATTTAATTGTATTTTTAAATCTGAAAGTCCAGAGAGAATCTTCTTCTGGCACCTACCCGTATATCGCCAGAACTATTCGAGTTTTAGAAGAATCTGCATATAAATATGAAAAATTATAAGGGTATAAAATAGATGCGCATATATAAAAATGTCAAGATAAAACTTTAAAAATATATAAGTTTAATGAAAAATGTGGAATAAATAATAATGTATAGTGTATAGGTAAATCACATTATCGTAAAAGTAATGTTTATCATTATGTGCACTCAAAACATAACTGTTTTATTGGTACATAAAATGAATTCGGGTTTTTTACGGTATACAAGTGCATAAGTCCGTTACTTAAATTTAAAAATATTAAAAGACACTGATACCGTTTTAATGATGCAATTTCGGCTATTACAAGCACTTATGACCGAAACGGTTTTTTGCACAGAGAAAATTATTTTTAAATGGCAAAACCCTGAGTTGTCTTTTATTAAGATACGTAATTATTCGCTTACTTAAATAATTTGCATTGTTTATGGCATAAATTAAAATAATTTAATTTGTTTATAATGGGTTTTTCTGTGATCATAAGTGCAGGTAAATACTGTTTAATAAGATTTAATTAATAAGCTTATTTTAATATTAACACTTAGATTTTAGATACGTAATATCTTGAGTAGTTAAATTCCTGGAAATTGTTACTTGCTTGATTTCGTATTTATTTCAGGAAACGATAAAACTAAACTCCGAAATAACACGATTAGATAATGATAAAAATTAATGTATTGACAGTGCTATTAGCTCCTCGTCCGGTAATTGGCATTCATTTTACTGATTAAAATCTAATACAGTTCAAACCGATATTTATAGGAGCACAAGAAAGTTCTTTAATAAAATTACACGTTTTAAGACAATAGATAATTTTCACATTTCGTGGATGAAAGCAACGATTGGAATATCCCAAAATTGGAAACATTAGAAATTTGATCTTAACAGTATTACAGCAAACTTGAACCATTCAGCACTCGAAATTGCTACCTACAACCTTATAATCCAACAATACAATTTTATTATAATTTCTGCTCACATCATTATAATACCATCCTCTCTGATTTCAATACCGCCATCGCCTCGCCCAAGAATATCAGCCTCCTCACGAACCCAACGCTAAACTGCGCTCTTCTCAATTCAATTGTCTTCATTATCAATGCTAGTCATTCAACAGTTGTGCATTATGTGTAAACAGTTTTTTCTCTCGATCGTAAACACGCGCCCCATGACCCAGATTGTCGTGAACCCATAGCCGGCTGCATGGTCATTACCGGGTCACCAGGACCTTGTTTTACCATTTAAAGACATCGCATCAGGATAATTGGGTTAGATAATGAAAAATTCGCTGATGTATTTCGTGAACCGAAAGTTTATAAAGTTTATGAAGTCGAGTTTGAGTAGACAACGGGATGTACACAAAAAAATAATCAAATATAATATCCTGGTTAAGTTAATTGATAGCTTTATATTTAATATGTAGACCTAGTTTAGACTTTGGGTTTTCATTTTTAATATTCTTAGTTTAGTACATATTGATATTATTTATAGTTTGAATAATTTTATTGTATTTTCCTAATTGTAATTTGATAGGAAATTCAAATTTAATTAATGAAAATTTTGAATAATAACAGCAAATTTAAAATTAATATTTTTATTTGCAACTTAACCATTTTATTTTACAGCTCATATAGATATATAAAAATTGCTGGAAGGCTATAATTAACATTGGGCCGTTATATTTTTAAACACCTGTTTTTAAATTACCCTCTACCTAATTAGCCTTCGTGATTTGTGACATTTTTCACAGCCGATAAACAGCTGGTGTTGGTTCATTCACCACCGAATCCAGGTGTGTTTTCAACTTCCAAGAAGGCGAAAACATCCATTCCCGGCAAAATAAACATTCACAATTGAAAAATCGTGTATTTTAGGCAAATTAACCGAAATCGCAGCGGGTTATTTATTTAGCGCTAAACGTAAATCTGTCAAACGTCTAATTAAAAAAAACAACTAACAGAAAAAAAAACTCCTTACCTGTCGAAGGAGAAACTGAAATTTACGATTGTGACACCGCGACTCCCGGGTTTGAACCTACTTAACTTTTCACGATGTCGTATATTGATGCAGGTAACCAGGTAAGCGAGTGAGCGCGGTACTAATGAAGACCAGTGTTACCTTTGCCGGTACTCAACAAACTGACTATCGCGGCCTGATTGCACTTTGTTTTGTTACATGCTTACTTGGACGTCTACTACAGGACCAGGTGAGTAGTCCGCGTTGCCATATTTACAATTTTTTTTATTAACTAGTTATTTACACGATTGTTTAAAATTGCGATGAGGTAAGTTGCAAGTTCGTAATTACCGCAAAAGGACCGCTAAGTGCGGATTAATTGGACTTTTTTCCGTTTGACCTCCTACTCAACCATGTCAAGCGTAGAAAATTGTGTTTTTGGGTAAAATTAATGTTATCTTGTTCATCTATATTACAGTTTGGCATAACTGTATTGATTGTAATAATTAAATTCAGGATGGCTGAATAATTAGTGCAAAAACTATTTTTTGGCGCCCAATTAGGCGTATATCTGATACATAAAATTGCGAGGCCACTGAACTTCCTCGATTGAATTTAGTGAACAGTAATAAATTAAATTAACTGCTTATATAACGCCGTGAGGAAGAGAGTAATTAAAAATATTTTGTTTTTTTTAGTTCCTACGTTATTAAATTAAAAATTTAATCGAAATTAGCACCGCCTGTACCGTTAAAAATAACGATTTTATCGGGAATGTAATAATTAATCTGTTACGAAAAAATTCGATACCCACTGTGAGTATGAGAAACGTGAAAATTTGAGTTTTAACCAATGCTGTTCACTGAAGCATAATCTAACTGTCGGGAGGACATTTCCTGCTCTATTTTATACATATAAACCAAGTAACGGATCATGACATTTATATTATTTAGAAAAACAGGTAGTTATTTCAACATTTCGAATTACGATTTATGACTCTGTCGTTTGAAACTTCGCTAATTAACAAGAATGAGAGTCGATTTGTGGATTTTGTTTACGTTACTTACCGTTTTAGAACGGTAAAAATATCCTCTTATTGAGATACTAATGCTCATTAATTCCTAATGATACAGTAATGTCCATAAATTTTAATGTACAGAGAGCACAATAGAAATTTTGAACAAAAAATAATATTTCAGTTATTTCTATTAATGTGAAAGAACACCATTAGCTAAATATCACAACATTTTTAGTTATTATTCAAACCTAACGCAATCGTTAAAACTTCGCTAAGATTAACTCTCCATAAGAATAATGGGCAATAATAGCGAACACTTAAAGTAATTAACGGTAATTACTTCCTCGTTCTAATTATTATTTACACTTTTCTTTTCCTTTTAACGCCGTAACGAGCGTATATTTCAGTAATAACGTAAAGAATAGTATCGAGCATCTTCAACTGTCGCAATTCACTACCAGACAATCTGCTAGAACTACTGCAAAAAGAAGGAGTACTGAAACAAAAAGCTTTTCTCACGCAGATAATATCCGTTTTTATTGGAATATTTACTTTCATTTTTCATTCATTCATGCAAATAATTACGGTTTGTCTTGCTCACATGTGGCAAATAGGACAATTTGCCAATATCAGCGAGGCAATTATCTGATGCAGTTTTGCTGAAAAAACTGAAATGCTGTAAGATAAAATTATAATGAATAGCTTTGTTTTTCACCAGCCGATATTAAAAATAATTGGATACAATTTTTGTGTTTAATAAAGACCGATATTCTGCTAAAACCCCATAAACTAAACGTACATACACTGGCTTACTATAAAGCAAGTAATTCCTTCGTTTTTTACAGATTACTTTATCAATTATTACCGGCGAAAATTATGCACTGAATCTTTTCATTGCAAATGAATATACTAAAAATAGAAACACGCCTTAAGTCAGAAAACAGAAATCATTCTGGCTTAAAGATTTCATATACAGATTGTACTTTAGAAGCGTAGGCGATGCTTAATTCAATTCCTATAAAAATTGCTCGTATGAAACCCCTTTTGATATTGATGGAAGTCATAAACAACTTTCGTATTTTTTGCTGACGCTGCGTTTTTAACAGTAAATTAAATTTGCTTCGTATATACAGTGACCCAAACTGAAGCAGAAATTGAAAATCAAAGTTCTCTCAATTGCATTGTTTCAACTGCACCTCCAATTTTTAGGCTTATTATCCCAGAGATTTGAAAATGTAGGCATCAATTTAATTTTGGCGAATGCAATATTCCTGATAATTGGTTCTGTGTAATTAGTTTTTAACCCACCAGTTATTCCACAATACAATAATTGATTGTAATAACCGAGATATCGTGATAAATTTGCAAGTTGCCATTGTGCTCATAAGATGTTTTACAAATAAAAATAAGCGAATTCTTTTGTTAATTAAATATGTACGAGTGTGTCTGGATGGGTGTACTTGCGTCATGTTCTTCAAGGTGACAATTGTGTACTTATTTGTTCCTATTATATTGTAATTACCAGTGGTGGAAAATTTAGTACCATTCTTACCATTGAAATCAATTTCTATTAATAGAAATATATTCCAAGATGAAAATTATTTATCACAATTTCATGAAATATTTTTGAATTATTGAATAATATTATTGTGACATGGTTTTAATCAAGCTTGAGCTTCTGTGGTTGTTGTTGCTGATTGTTCACCTAAAAAAACAAGAGTTAAACATTTAGTACTATAAATTATTGACGATGTAAATTACTCTCTTTTTCGTCGCTCTTTCCATCAGGGATGAATTTAGGGAATTCCAGCTCAAATGGAGATTCATTATTCTCCACGATCCATATAGAACCCGGCTTAGCCACTTCCAAAATCTCCACTAGACCTTTAGCGACGTTTTCGGGGTCCTGCAGAGAAGTCGTCTTCATTTGCTCTTCTATATCTTCAGCGAAATTAGCGTTTATCGTCTTTTCCTCCAAATTCTTCAAAGCGTTGGTGTTGGTGAAGCTGGGGCAATAGCCGAACACCTTGACACCGGTCCTTTGGTACAGCCTCATCGTGCCCAGGGCTCTTGTAAAACCTGAGAATATTCAAAATTATTCAACTCGAGATGACCGTTAGCTTCAACCTCACAAGAGCCTTAACAAGTTTCATACGAATTCTGTGAGTGTTAAGCGGAACAGAGTTTAATTCTTCGAAGATTCCTTATGAAGATACTCGTATGTTCGTACTTAGATATGCTTTTATTTCTTTCGGTCTCAACTTACTAATTTTCTTACCAGCAATTCCAAATTGAGTTAGGGTGTGAATAGGAAATCCACTGGCCGGTACTATGCTCATACAAGAACCCAAATTAACGATAACACCTCCGTGTCCTGAACTGGATTTTGACAAATATTGCATGCCCAGAAGGGTACCGATAACCGATCCTCTTATGTTCGTGTCCAGTTGGGCCTCCCAATTAGTGTCGTCCAAAATGCCCGCGTTGTTTACGATTATATCAATTTTCTGCAAACACACTAAATTTATAAGACGGTCGGCTTGGATAGCTTGTTGGCTACCTCCAACTCCTGCGATGTATTCCTGAAAATCGTGTCCATTTGCTCCGTATCGGCAACGTCGGCTTTGTAGGTGATAACTCTATCGTTGCCGAATTCGTCCTTCAGGACCTTCTCGCTTTCGACCAGCTTCTCCTGGTCGATGTCGATTATGTTGACTGCCGTCACGCCGCTCCTCAGCAACTCCCTGGTGATGGCGAATCCTATTCCCGAGGCGCCTCCGGTCACGACAGCGACCTTGTCCTCGAAATTGTAATTCTCCGACGTCGGCGTCTCGGCGCTGGCCGATTCCAGGTGCCTGGCCAGCATTCTCGACAACGTCGGAGCGTTCCATCTGAAGAAAGGTCTTATCTTTTGCAATAAAGCCATTTCGAAATTCACGCTACAATTTTTATATATCCAATGTCACTTATCCCGATGACAGTTATAATTTCGCTAATGTTTATAGATTAGGTAATAAGTTTAGGAGTAAAATTAGGAAGATGTTTATAATATGTTCTTATCCGTCAATGTTTATCTTTATTTTTTGCAGACATTTCCTGCAGAATTCATGAACATTAAATAAACTTGATATTTTTTTTCTTGCACTCAATAATCAGCTTCATATATTTTCCTCGTTCTTCTCGAAGGAGAATCGATACGAAATCCAACATCTGACTGGAATACACGCGAAAGGCCGCAACAAAAGCGAAATTTATTTATTATTTTGCGTAGTCACGTTGTGTCTGGAGTGAAGAATTATTATGCATCGCGTGACTCATACGCGGATGTGTGTGTGTGCAAGAACAGAGACTTATTACCTTCCGGAAAAAACAAACCACATAACATTTAGTTATGTAAAGTAGGGCAATTTTACGCATAAGAAAATGAGCCTACAAACAAATTTGTTTTCGTTTGGATTCGTCTCATTTCAAGCACATGTTTTTAAACACATGCATTTACGAACGATGTATCGTAAGAAATTGTAGATCCTTATAGAATCGCGTAATTTTATAATCACACCCAGTAATACGAAGAAACTATTAGACAAATTGTATCCTACTATATGGTTAAAACAATAGAGTAATTTAGTTAAAATAAGGAAGTGGATTTAAATTACGGGAAACGTAGTAAAGTGTATTGCATCTAGGGCAAACCTAAACTCTAAACGCTTGCATTCCAAAGTGTATCCACGAAATAGTCTGAATGAGTTAAAAAAGCTGAAGAAGCAGAAGAAGAGCGGCGGTAAATTATTTACGACACGATAATGTTTCTGCTGCATTTAATTTCAATCGGTAATAGTATCTAATAGTTTGTGGAGAAATTTTAGAAAGCGCTCGTTTTTTATTTTTCAATATTGTATTAATTTACAATACGTTTGTTTATATCTATTAATCTAGTGATTGTTATCTATCAATATTTATTATTTACCTATTTGGAAGAATATTAATATTTCTACAATATGCGGGCCAGGATCTGGTCTTAATAAATTCAGTGCACCCTGTACAATAGTAAAGTAATGTAATAAAAAGGAAACCGCAGCCGCTAACATTTCTGATCGGTCTAGGCGAGAATTTCTGTTCGTTGTACAAAACAATCCCAATGGGATTCGATAAGTTATTGGATATTGTTTCGAAATAACGCTGGAAAACCTTGATTTCGAGCCGAGATACGAACGACTTTTAACGGAGGAAATTAAATCTGAAGGAATTCGATGTTGGTGCCGGTGAAAACGCTATTCGCGGAATCTAATTTCAGCGTTGCTTCGGTTTCGAGAGGCCTTGCGTGGCTGTTGCACGTTCAACTTAAAGACTTCGGATTTTCTATTTATTTTATGCCGTTGATTGCAGAAAGAGACACGTTAAGAGATTTATAGTTGAGGACGTAAGTCAAGAAGGTTCAAACTGAGATATTCGATTCGAGCAAAGGTCGAGAGTTCGCGAAAAAAAATGCACCCTTGAATGTAATCATCGGAACTTAATTAATGTGATGAGTATTTGATAGGTGTACAAACATTTTGTTTTGTTTAAATTACCAACCTCCTTGACACCGAAATTTATTCATATTTGTATTAATGTACAAATGTTTTACATTACATACAACACTCAAATAAGTTCAGGATTGGATCTATTTTTTTTTTCGAGCAATATTAGGAATATTGTACAGAATAAGACTTTAAATTTTCGAAAGGTATCAATCATCCACGGTTTGTAGAATATGTACGATATGTAGAATATTATTCTACAAACCGTGTCAATCATCATTACATACAATACTCAAATAAGTTCAGGATTGGATCTATTTTTTTTTTCGAGCAATATTAGGAATATTGTACAGAATAATAACTTTACAGGTCTACGAATTTACCATGGCACCTGGGGAAAATATTTTCTGCGCGAAGTAAGGGTCAGTGTGCGACAAGGATAGCATTCGGAATAAAGAGATGGCTATACAGGTAGCGAACGTAGTCGCATTTTACTCGACACTTTGCATTAAACGGACTCAGGGGCAATTGGGATTTTCGAATGCAATTAAAAAAATTATTTAATACCGTTATTTATTAGAGATTAAATTCAATTAGCTTACTTTTATTGAATGCAAATCTCAATATGTTTTGAATGTATAGAAATAATGGATGTTAAATTAGTTTACTAAGAATAATTATTGCGTTCGCATTCAAGCCCATCAATTTTAAACCGGATTAATTAAATATCAATCAAATATAATAATAAATCTTAATATTAATCTTATACGGGGAATAATGAATTATTGGATTTATAGGAAAATAACATAACAATGAAAATGGGTTTTTCAGAGCCACGAATCTAAAATTTTAGGAATTTCGCTCCCTTAATACGGCTCTGTGCTTAGATGTTTAAGCGTAAGACTGTCTGAACAGAATGAGTGCGGAGCGTAATTTAGGGACGAATCTACGGCGCATCTAGGGGGTGGAGCATCTCAGGTGCCATGGTAAATTCGTAGACCTGTACGTATTTGTACGTGCAACGTTGCATCCGAAATATCCGGGTACCTCCGAGTTCCGTTCCGCTTGGCAACGCCGGTTTCACCTGCCGATCCGATCGTACCTTTCGCGCACAGGTGAGACTACGCATACCTCTTCGGAGGTTCTGGTGTCCTGATAGAAAGGTAGACGTGGTTCCCACTTGCAAGGGTACCACCGACGTGCGGTAGGAGCCTAACTAGTACTTCGAGTCGGAATACCTCCGAGGTGCACCCGTTCGATATGTAGCGCTATCGAGCGGTACCGGGCTTGTTCCTTTACGTACACAAGCGAATATCTCGGTTAAATGCTGATGTTTATGTTGCATTAAACGTGGAGATGGGCTATATTAAATACGTATAGAGTGTGTGCAATTAATTTAAATAACGCACTGAAACTTAATTAAATGGGATGGTTAAATATTAAAGTGTCAGATTAAAATTACTTAGGTGTTCAAATAAAATAATATTTGGAATAAAATTGAGTGTAATTAATTTTAGTGCCGTTTCTTTTTTGCAAAATATTTTAATTTGGAATTTTAATTAAAAGTATAAGTAGTTTAAGCAATGCTTAAAATTACGGTACTAAAATAATATGCATAAGTCTTAAATTAATCATCGAGTAGATATGATTTAATTAATTAATAAAAAATATTAGATGAGTTAAATCCTAACAAAAATGCGATTAACTCCACCTTTGCATAAATTATTATAGAGTACAGTTCGATTCGAAGAGTCTAAATCGAAATTATATGAAATTTACAGTTATGGCCTCTCAGGGAACAGTATCAGGCCACATCATAGCATATTATGTTTTATAAAAAAATACATAAATTTCTAAATAATTTTAGACGATATCTCGAAATAATTAAAACGATTAAACTTTAATAATAAAACCTGATATTTATATAGGTAACAAGATAACATTTTACCCAAAATCCACAATAAATTATTCTCATCTACCTACTTAATTGTTATTATTCGACGAAAGCAGTCAAAAAACTAAACACCACGTGAGAAAAAGGTTTCCCAATTTTTAACAAGTCATTTAGAAATATTTATAGCCTGTTAATAACTATTGTATATGGACATATTTAAAATAATCCGTATACATATAATAACATTAATATTTTAAAACCTACAAGGGTTGTAAGTACTCCCAATAGATGCTACAAAGCGATTACATGCGAATATCGTGCGGGTACTATTCGCTTAAACAACGTCGGTTCCTTCGCGTTCTCTTCTGGTAACTGCCGAGCCGAAGAACCACCGTTGGGTACCATCGCTCATGGTATTAAGTTGATGATGATGGTATCTAATGGTACACTGAAGTACCACCGCGTAACAGGATAACAGAAAGGACTGTAGCGTTTGCAAGAGCGTTGACCATAGGACAATTGTTGCCATTTTAGTTGTTGCACTATTAAAATAGTTCTTTTGGTGTTTGTCTATTGATGGGTGCATTTTTCGATAAATATTTGTTAGAAGGACTAAAATTATTGTATTTTTTGATTCAAATTTTGTTTTGAATATATCCCTATGATAAAATGGTAATATTTTTTTTACTACCGACTACAGATTCTGGGTAATAGGGATGTATAATCAAATTTTTGAGTTATTTATCTGATTGTTTAATTAATATTTTTATTAAAATATCATTCATAATAATTGTGAATTAAAAAATAAATAATTTTAAATGAAGTCAAAAATATCAGTATTGACTAATTCGTCAAATTAGAAAATAACATTTTTTTCAAAATTTCCTTGCATTGCAAAATTTATTTTACAAAAATTTGCACTATTAGTAAATTACCCACGTGCTTAAAGTACCTACCTACATTAATATTCATTAAAAAAATGTATAAAACAAACATTAAAAATAATAACAGCACCAGGTACTACCTACACGTAAAAATCAACTCGTATACGCGCGCTATGTCAATACTGATATTATTAACTGTAAACCTCAAGAACCTAACCTTACCGGTACCCGACGGTACCTAATGGTACTGTACGGTACCATCAAATACCAGGCAGACATGTAGACCAGTCGGTGTGTATGTTGTGTGTGTTTGCAGAGCGGGTACCTCGGCGGCCTGCGGTCTAGCTTGGGCGGGTGGACGCAAAAAGTCAAGTCTTGGTACTGGGGCACACCTCTTGTAAGTTTTAGGTCCTCGATGCACTGAAAAGCATGCGCTGATTACCTACACGATATATTTATATTATATATTCTCTGTTTCACATTACACTAACGTCGCCAAAAAGGATGTCTATATGTGCAATGTAGAGCGTGTTGCTGTTGGAATTATTGTTATCGTTTGTTGGATTCTTTATGCGAAGGAAGGGAGTATTAAAAGGATTTTGAAAGTGGGAAATTTTTGTCTCTTCGTCACTTTATTGTATTATTTATTTTTGATTATTGTTCTATTCAATTTAGTTTTTGTATTATTTCAAAGACATTATAATTAGTTGTAATGTCTTTGTATTAATTAATCTATGTTGCCAGATCAAGTTTCGAGTTTTCACTAGATTTAGTAATTTTGACTTACTGATTTTAGGTGGAAGCTTTTACGAAGACAAGTCTAATACCTTATTTAATCTCTTTTTAGCGTAGATAGTTTGTGAAAAAAAACGCACTTCTAGTCAAACAATAGTAATAATTTTAATAGCCGAGCTGTAAATGTTAGAAAAAAACACGTTAGTAATCAGTTGTAGGTATTACTAAAATTTTTGAAATATTTTTTTCAAAATTTCATATAGGTAATTAGAAAAGTAAAAATTCTTTACAAGCATACACAACACCAAAATACACAAAGTTTATACAGATCAATTTTTTTAATTATAATGCAATTTTTCTACGAATTCCATCCTAGAGTAGTGTTGCTTTTTTAGTCCTTTCACTCCCATTCACTCTCCAAAGAGATCTCTAATTTCTAATTTTACTATCGTTACATTTTGTATCTTTAATCTGGAATCTGAAACTTTGTGAAATCTTTTCAATGATTCAAACCTTCTTAATATTCGAATTACTTTTTAGCAAATTTGCATACTATTTGTGACGACATTTCCAAAGAACGTTTTCGCTAGAAATTCCATACTGAAAGATGTGAAACTTTTCTTCTTGTTTTAGATTGAACCGCAAGATAAAATAAGACGAGTTTCTAGGCTCTGACTCAGTTCCATACTTAATAACCGATTATTATTCAATGAAATATGACTCAATTTATGAGCGATTGTTTCAGAAGGAATTCCGACGATTTATTATGCGAAAAAAACGTTGCGAATATCGCAAATCAAAAAAGTTGATGAAGAAAAATTAGAGATCGCTTGACACTAGAATTTATCAACCTCACTTATGAAGATTACGAGTGTTTAATAGCTTTGTGTTTGCAGCGGCGTAGAAAAGAATACAACATTGAAATAAAATTTAACAATGTTGCTTTGTGTAATAGAAAATTTAAATGATTAATGAATAAAAATATATTCCATTGAATGTACCTACATATCAGAATCTTTAGGTGTAGATAAAAAAGTGAAGTTTCTAGTGACAATCAAACTCGACCAGCGCCCTGGGCGATTTGTTTCAAAACACCTCTTTAAATAAATCATATTCATAAATTTCTAGATGTTGTTTTTGTGCTCAAGAGTGGGCAGAAGACCCAATGCAGAGACACTGAATATGTATGATGATATATGTTATTACCACTGTCTAGTTCTTATTCATAAGACTTGCACAATTGCTACATGTGAAGTCGCAAACTGAAACTTACACTGAGAAAAATCTCTTTACATAAATTACGTACCTACATTCCATTGAACAAAAGATTCTAAAAGTATATATTTCAATAAATAAATGATTTTTTTTAAGATATAATACTTGGATTATTTCAATTAAATTTAATCTAGTTATGAGATAAATAATTTATCTGTACATTTACTTTATTTCAAACAAATATGCATTTGTACATATAGCTTGCTGGATATATTAATATAAATATTTTCAACATAAATTCATTTGATTCGCTTTTTTTAGTGTAGAAGACTTCTATTCCGAAGACTTATTTAACAAGTATCATATGAATATAAAGTAGTCAGTCATGTTACACTTACTAAAATCCTATGAATAATAGTTTACGTACAATGATGAATGAAATATTCACTAAAAACAAAAAAATATCCAGGCATTCGTAATTGGAAGCAAAAAAAAGTTGTCTGGACTTTTGTATGGAAATAAGACGACGATGGAGCAGTAAATTTACTGAAATAAACTCGTCTGTAGAAGTGCATATTTTTTTTGTTTTATCGTGGGATTTTCCATCAAAACAGCAAAGGAATAAATTGTTCATAATCAATTTTATGTCAGTTAATTTTTTACACACAAAGCTTTTAAACTTTAATTACATCCCTTTTTTTAATTAGCTATTATTCCTTTTATTCTATGTAAGTAGCAGTGTTGTCAAATGTCTATTCACATATTATTAAACACAAAATAACGAACAACTAAATAATAACAAAAATCGAGGTACCACTGGTATCAAGATATACTTCTCTCGTCCACACTGAGCATGGGGCATGTTTTTTATTAGAGTATTAGTGCACTATTTAAAATAAAATTTAAAAATAAATCATACCTATCTACTCGTATTCGAAATAAATAAGAAGTTATTGCAAGCACATTCACTTACATTTTGTAAATATTTTATAAATATTTATACAAGATGTTTCATTGACAAATTTATACATTTTAACTGCAGAAAGGGCACCAAAAAATCCTCATAAAATAGGTTTTCCTTATTTTACTATTGCTTTGCTGACCCCCATTTGCAGTTAAAGTTATGTATTTGTGTATTTGTTATGAGTAAAGTATAAAAGACTAAACCTATGTCGGTAAAGTGCGAAATGAGAGTAGGGTTTTTTTCAAAAAACTTTACCTATCCTACTTAGCTCTTTACCCATGTTTCTAGGGTATTTCGTAATTTACCAGGGTAAATCTAGGTTTAGTCGTTTATCTAGTTTTATCCGTAACATATTCACTAACGGGACACCTTGTATTAATATGCAAATTTTATTCTCATATTTTGTTATTTCATAGAAATACGTGATGCTAGGCGCTGGAATTCCTTGTTATTTTTATCGTGGTTGCTCTAGCATTATCTTAGTTTTCATTTACTTATTTAATATGTAAGTAAGTTTACGTTCGGTATTTTTATGGAGAATATTAGTTAATATGTTTATTCCATTGCGCGTAGTTTAAGTGGAAACTGCACATTTTCAACGCGGAAAAGAGAAATACAGGATTCTCGATTAATATGTATTTTTTACCACAATAATTTATCCAATTAAGAGCGTTTACGTTCTTGAAATCTCAAAAAAACCCAGTTGAATAATGAATCTGTCAGTAAGCGCTTTTAATACCATTTTTTAGAGCTATAATTCATACCTATAGAGTATCTGCATACAACGATCGGCACGAAAATAATAAATCAGTCACGGCCGCATCGCGAAAATGCGATAATTTCAACAATAATACTTATTATTTGCAAATAAAAGAAAATGTTTTCGACTGGTGTTAAATTGCAATTTTATCAGGTTCGGTATATATTACCAGCGCCAATTTTCGATCACGAAGGATGCTCAAATTATTGCTCGATGGGTGAAATAAAACCGTCAACGGCTCCTTACTAAAAACCAACCGAATGTACAATTATCATGGACGTAGACTAGTACTCTTTAAGATACATTAAAAGGTACTATTGTGTAGATTTTCTACCATATTAATTTTCATCTTTAGAAACCTACATAAATATATTATAGCAAACAAAAAATTCAGGTTTGTTACTGAAGAGTTTTGATCTATTTATAATACTCTTTCTAGTATCATCTCTTTTATTATCAATTTTAGTATTTCTATATTATATTGCATGCTTATAAATTTTGAAGGAATTTTCTACCATTTAGCAAAATTCTTCAATCTCTTCAAAGCAATTTAGATTCGTATGGTCAAATTTTATACGCTTTAAAATATTGTTATATTATCTCATTGGACGTCTATGATAATTAACGGCTCTTCCTCCTGTGGAAAGTACCACTTGCGAGTACCATTTATGCACGCAGTAATGATAGCATACCGGAGCTGTTTTTAACAAGTGCCGCAGATGAAAGTGAATATCGGTTATGCGTCTATGTTTCATTTTTTTGCTGTAATCACCACGAGTGTACCAGTATCACTGTGTAATTTTAATATTTTGAAAGAGTTGATTGAATTCGATATATTCAATAATCACCCTAATATTCGTGTTCGAGATTAAAATGAAACGCGAGAAATCGGAATTTATGGAGAACAGGTTTTCTGGAATCGTTTTAATACTCGGTTTCCTGCGAAACGTACGCATTTGAGATGTCGAGATTCCTTTTCTTTAATTTTTAAATGATTTGGAGAGAAATTCTTTGTTTAAAAAAAGTTCTAAATGCTTTTCCAAATCCTACAATTTTCATTTCGTCTCTCCATTCATCCATTTCTCTATTTACTTCGCTTAATATTTCTAATGTAAATACCCATCAGATGTGGGAATTAATATACCAACCGTTTGCGGTTTCTTTCATTCGTTCATCTCCATCCATTTCCACTCTAAACTAATACTCAACTCTAATTCTTGTTGCTCGAAGGATATCAAATATTATTTATGTCGGAAGCACGAGTATCGTTGATGTTCATTTATTATATTATTAGAACAATACAGAATATTTACTCGCTCCACTCCATCGGGATATTGATTTAATCTTCAAATTAAGTTTCCTGATTAATGGTAGTCATATCTTTACTTGTTCTATTTATGTTGTATATTTCGCATGGAAATACACGTACATCTCGGGGTTATTTGATTTAATTCAACTTTAAAGTTATCATTAAACTTCCTAATGTAATTGATATAGTTTTTACGCGACTATTCCAAAGTCAATAAAATTCGTGTCTTTGTGACTACACTCCGTCGAGAAAATTAATAAAGTTTAATGTAACGACTATGCGTTTGTTAGAGAAGTTTACAATGCTATTAAATTTGAAATAGATATCTAGCGGATTTATACCGGGAACTTTATACAGAGTAGCCACTCGTGAAGTACCATGTGAACCTTCAGAAAATCTTGCCTAACGGAAAAACTATTGTAGTTGCGAGAAGCTTTAACGATTCACAGACGCCAATGATAAATGATGAACCATAATGGCCCATCGTTTTTTATCAGCGTTTGGGCGGATCCGCACATTTCACCCTCATCAAACTTGGTGCTCTTTTACATACATACTTCAGCATGAAATCGTTCTGATTTAACATTTTTTTTGATCTCTCCAACACCGGTTTTATTCAAACGGATTAAAATTTTAAACTTATTCGCTTTTTAAATCGAAACATAAACCATCAGCTTATCACTAGGTTGGAACTTTTACACGTCTATTTAATCTGCTTATTATACCGATAATGGTGACGAAAAGGTTTTCTTTTTAGGAGCTGGCTCACAAGCTATCGCGCAGCTTCGACATGAAGGACGAGCAGGGCCTCCTCGAGGGCGAGGGCGGCATGAGGCGGCACCAGTCGATGCAGAGGCTGACGAGGGACGGCGCCCCGGAGCACCGCGACCCCGCCAAAGTGGTCTACGACGAGCAAGGTAATCTGAGGATAACGGTCAAAAAGACGAAACCCATATTAGGAATCGCTATCGAAGGAGGGGCCAACACCAAGCACCCCCTACCCAGGATAATCAATATAAACGTAATTATATTAATAAAATAATCGAAGCTAACGAAGCTCGATCGTTGTGGATGTTGCAGGAAAACGGATCCGCATTCTACGCGGGCGGCCTGGAAGTGGGCCAGCTGATCCTGCAGGTGGACGGCACCCGCGTGGAGGGTCTGCAACACCAAGACGTGGCTCGGCTGATAGCGGAGTGCTTCGCGCGCCGAGACCGCGAAGAAATCGAGTTCCTGGTAGTGGAGGCGAAGAAGAGCAACATGGAGCCGAAACCGACCTCGTTGATCTTCCTCGAAGCTTAACATTTGCTTAGCCTCCCCCCTAGCGACCCTCCGGGGCCGAGTCACCAAGAGGACTGAACGGATCTACGATCTACGATTTACTACTACATATCACGCGTATCATAAGAGGATCGATCTGGAGCTCGGCGATGGCGCTCTGTCGGATCTCCTAGCCGGAGCTTTAGGTGGATCGCGTAGTTGTCGTAGCAAGGAGAAATGTTTGCAATTGTTATGGAGCTTATTTGCAGGCTGTGGTTTATGGGGATTTAAGAGCAATTTTCAGGATTATCTCGCCGTTCATCGCGATTATTTGAATTTATAACGAAAAATCAATATAGATGGAATATAAATTAACTATTAGCAGTCATGGTTGCAAATTGAGAGTTGATCTTAATTCCCCAAATGGTTATTTTGTTCTGAATTTATTCCGATATATTATTGAAAAATAATGAATACACCGTAGGGAAAATTGTTGATGCACTGGAAGGATTTCGTAATTAATATAAGATAGTAGATTTATTACTAAATTGATAGAAATTATCGGTTCTGTTTCATCATTAAGAAAGAAGTATACGAACAAGTTTAAACAAATGTAGAGGGTAATTCTTGAAGAATGTTGGTTTAAAAAACATAAAGATCTCTTCCGATTTTTAATGGATCACCTTGTATACAAGTTTCTAAATTTACTAAATCTGCAGTAACATGACAACTGCCTTATCACTAGACTTTTCCACAGTGATTTACATGCTGCAAATGCAACCTTTTGTTCGTATGATCTTTCTTAATAAAAAATAAGGCTTGATAATAATAATCTCACTGCAAAACAAATGTAGTCTAAATTCGAGGAATCGCCACGATACCGATTCGTAGACACACTATGAACGATTTCTTTCTATTCTAAACGTTTATTTCATATGCAAACAATTCTCAACTGTAGACTAAATACTATAATATGCATTGAAACCATTGTAATAAAACATATACGTCATTAACCATTGTTAATTGTTGTGTACAGCTTTAGTAAAACAATAATATCGCTTTCAATGTAAGCTGCAAATGGTCGTGCATATTATAAACGTCGTATTTTAAATATGTTCCATCATTTTTCGCTTGCTTAATTGCAAATTTTAATTAGCAATATTTGCACAACTTGGCATATGAACTCCAAAATTTAATCTACTATTTTTTGTAATTAATAATTAATTTATTTTCACGTAAAATAACTTCAATAACTTCAAATTTTTAGGGAATGTGTAATAATGAAAATGTCGAGTTGTATAAATAATGTTAATGGCTAAAATCTAATGTTTAAAATATGACAATCGGTGACGTTTCTGCAATTTCTAGAGGGAGAGGCACCACTTAGAGATATTGACACAAAAAATATGCATTGTACATACAAAAATATATTTTAAAACGATGTTTGAAAATTAATTTTATAAAAATGCAGTATTACGTAAATTTAATGAGTAACAACCGTAACGTATAAGCTACAATAGCTGTGCCAAATAAATAAAGAGAATCGTAAAGTTTTAGGAGCCTATAGCCTTGAATATAAAAAAAAAATATTAATGAAATCATTTGTACATGTACCTACTGTTATACGATTGTTATAATTTTTATTCAGTAACTTTCTTTCAAATTGATGCCTATATTTAACTCTAACGGACATTTTCTATTTAATGTCCTGTCTTTCATTTTTACTCTATTATTAATATTTACAATTTCTAATTCTCTTATCTCTTCCTATAATTTCTTCATTCTATTATTACCTGCAAATGATGAGTAGAATAGAAATAATAGGGATCAGTTTTGAAAGAAAAATTACCGAACCCATTCGACTGTTGCTATTATAGAATGTAAGAAACATTCCAGAAGAATCCGTATTAAAAAGATAACAATTTCAATGTCTGCCTTCACTGCATTTTTGCAAAGCACTGTTAATTTTTGTGCGCTGATATGTAAATAATGTTATTTTAGATTTTTAAATGCGAATGGACTGTTTATATAGTAATAAATAGTTTAGGGAGGAATTAAAAACATGTAGCTTATTAACGCAAAATTTGAAAAAAAAGGACTTTGATAATGCGATTTTTTTATTCTTTGTAAAATGGATGGTTAATAAAATATGGCTACATATACAGAGAAGTTAAATTTTGAAACATATCAAACATACCAAATATTATTTTTAGGGAAATAAATCAAATTGAATTGAAAATTATTTTTTAATTGAACATTTTTATGTAAATAAATTGTTTTGTAAATCGATTAGTAGGATTTAAATAAATATAAATGAGTTCTATGGACATTGGCAACTGGGGAATAGACAATTGTTGCCTTAAAAGTTTTCTATTAGCTCTTGAATATTTTAGAACCAACCGCACCTAGAGCTGTAAACCTCAAGTGGACGAGACAAAGAATAAAAAACCATTAAAAAATTATCGCCTACACGTTTTTGGCTAAAAATCAATATACATGTAAATAGGTCATAGGTGCTATGTATATAAATCATATAAATGAATTTATTTGATGCTTTTATAAGTTTAAAAACTATTGTTATATTTCTGGCATTGCAGTTGCAGTGATTTAAGAAAATATTTAACCCATCGCCTCTATTAGGACGTAAGAAGAGGACCGGTATTAAAAAAAATCCACTTTTTTGTTATTAAATTTAAAAATAATGATTTCACGACCAAGTAAATTCAGTTTTAATGCAATTGACTCTATAAAGGTTGTCCCGGAGAATGTGGGAAATATCTCCGATCCAGATATAACATGAAAAAATAAGATGACAAGTTCCTATAATGTTTTTACCTACAGACCCTCTCTACGGAAATATGCCTTCCTGAAGGACCCCTTTAGAAATATAGGTTTATTATATACACCTAATTCGGTATGTAATAGTAAACCTATACGTAAATTTTCAACTTCGTCCTTTAAACCGTTTTCCGGAAAATTATTTATCTTTTTTTTGTAAATTTGATGCTTCTATACTATTTGGGGTTACATTTTTTACTGACTTATTTTGTAGATGGGGTAATATAGAGATTTTAAATAGAGTATCTATGTTGTATTTAGTATCTATAGTATAGTAGACTATAATTTGGATGAGGATTTGCAGTTCGGTTCGGTCTTCATTTTTGGTGGAGGAGCTAAAGGGCCCTTTTGTGGATGTGGATAACTTCACTTTGGTAAACTTTATAGGAACTTGTCATCTTATTTTTTCATGTTCTATCTGGACCCGAGAGATTTCGCACATTTTCCGGGACACCCTGTAGATTTAACGCCGGTCCCGATTAGAAATAGAGAGTTTATTTTAGTAATTATGAAGTTGTTAATTTTGAATTATATTAGCCGCAAGTCCAAAGAAGTATGGTTTACGTATTCGCATATTTTAATGCTAGTGATTTATAAGAATGTCACATTAAAAATTTTCTTTATAAAATTTATGAAATTTTTGCTCAAGTGTTTTAATGGTGTTTGTCACGGTAAAAGTATATTTTAATGCTGGTAACGTAATAACATGCATAATTTAAATAGGTATTAATAATGTTTTTTTAATTATAATATCGAATCTTCCACATTTTATGACTGTTTTTGAAATAGCAACTGTATATTATTAAAAAATATTTGTTGTTATAAAAATTTATACGAGCAAGCGTGACAACCACTTTTAATAATAAAATAAAACTTATGAACAACGATCCTAATTGTTAAGATAAATCGCAGGAGAACACAAATTTATATTAAAATTTCTATAATTGGGAAATGTATTATGCATATGTTTGTAGAATTGGCAACTATAAAAGAATTTCTAAAGTTCTGTTACTCTGCAAGATTTGCAAATCATATAGTGACGTTATCACACGTGTCAATACTTGCATAATTTGATTAAAAAATAAACAAATTTCAGTTTCTCTTGCGCACGATCTCAACAAAAAGGACAAAAATATCATGAATAAATGTTTTTTAATATCACTTTTCGCAATGCAGTCAATTGATTGTTTGTTTTTCGTCTTTCTCGGCTATTGTTAATTATATTGTTGTTGAAGTATTTATGCAATTTGATATAAATCTATCGAATCAGGGATAATATGATCAATCTAGATTTTAATCGGTAGAATAGAACAAATAATTACTTAGGTATACTCAAATAATTTCTGAAAATTATTTCCCTATCATTATTAATTGTGTACAGGATAATTCTCAAGATATTTTGAGGCGACGTCCGTTACAATTATTAATAACATACATATTTAAATAATATTTGTTCTATTGTATAGATTAAAATTTTGAAGGTATAGCGATTAAAAGGTGATGATTGTTTAAACATTTTAGTGTGATTGGTTTGTTAGTAGAGTAATTAATTGTTAATTATTTTTAGGATATAACTATCGATATCAGTAACATAAAACAATTCTATTGTGAATATCTTGAATAGGGCAATAATTGCTGTATTTTTAAAATGTTCACAGTACATTGGGAGTTTTATTAGATTATCAATTAGTTTTTTTAAATATTACAAATTTGCACTATTCTGGTCGCTTTTATTAAACGACACGACCATACTTTACGATTTAGTTATACAGGGTGATCCTAAACATCGTGCACATCCGAAAGGGGGTAATTCTTTGGCTTATTTCATGACTAAAATTTCATATAAACATATGAACATAGCATCGTTACTGATCTACAGGGTGATATTTTTTTAGGAGTCATGTTCTTTTTCCTCCCACCGAAATTTTTTGCCGTCATCGTTTTGGTACTATACGTTTATATGAACTTTTAGTCATGAAATAAGCCAAAGAATTACCACCTTTCGGATGTGCACGATGTTTAGGAACACCCTGTATATCTAAGCGACCATAAAATCCAGGAAAAAAATGAAAATTTTCTAGTAAAATTTGAATGCCTACAGGTACAAATAAATATCTATAAATTTTAAATGTTTGTTGAAACCCGGCCCCAGAATAATGCAACTCGATTCAAATACCTAACTGAAATTAAATTTATGAATATAAAGAAAATTGTTGAATAACTATAAGTTTATTTTAAATTTAAACGATTTTTTTCGGAAGGAGAAAATTTGTAAAGCAAATGCCACAATCACATGAATTTAAAATTGTTTTACACTGTTCATACGCAATTTAAATAAAAATTCAAATATTTGCCTCTTGTTTTATTTCTCACGTAAAACTATTGCAAAGACCAAAGACAAATCTTTCTTTTTCTATGGCAAAAACAGCCTTATTCTTTATTTACTTTTAAAATTAAATTAACTTAAAGTTGGCAATACTTAAACAATTGAAATTGACAGTGACATTTACCACGATTGTGGTATTTTTCGATTTTGTTTTCGAGTTTGTTTTCGTTTTTGTGCGTAAAATGAACGACATTCAAAAAAGAATGCTCATTTCATTTGTTAATGAAAACGAGAATTTGCGGTCGGGAAAATTCTCCCCGACATTTACGCATGATGTAGCGCGGAGGAGTTGGGAGGAGATTGCGGTTCAATTAAACGCAGTGCCTTATGGAGCTCAGAAATGTTGGACGAAGTGGAGAAGGCATAGACAAAATAAAAGACATCTTTCTTTCTCTATGGGAGAAGGGTAAGAGATAACAATTTTTAATTTAAACATATATAATAAAAATTATTTAAAAATAAACTCTTGGCACATGATCTTCTTCCTGTTGTGCTGCGTCCTCGACATCGTTCAATAATTGGAAAAATAATGCCTCGTCAACATTCATTTTTATCACAATCACTTGGATTACACAAAAAAACGAAAACTATATAGTTGTATATTACTTCGACTACGTTCGGGAACAAAAATCGAATTAACCCTGATACAAGGGGTGCAACGATTATATATACTGTTGATAATTAAATAGCCTTCAAGACAAACATCTCTATTTAGTATTTAACCATCAAAATACGATTAAGACGGAGCGCCATTTATAGGTTAACAATAACAATATACATTTGAAACGTTTGACGTTTGTCATTTGTTGCCAATGCGCAAGTCTTCCTATGATTTCGCCAGTTTCCCGTGGCTGAGAGCATCAGAATTTCCCATGGGAGCGGAGAGAGGCTCGAGAATACGGCATATAACATTTCGTGAGAGATACGTCACAACTTTCTCATGGGATTCCTATGATTCCTATGGTTCCTATGATTCAAGAATCGGGGCCCACGAATAGAATAGAAACGAAGAAGAACAGAACATCAAAATAAGCAACACAGGATGCGCCCTAACCTTAAATTCCTATTCAGAACAAGTTGCGGAATATTATTTTTATTTTTCTACTGCGAGTTTTTGATTTTCTACACCACCCAATTCAACGTAAGTACCCATCGAATATCCATCAATTACGCTGGTTAAAACGATCGTTTTCAGTGCGATTGGCCCCATTTGAACCCCGCAAACGAAGATGCCTCCATCGACCCAACCGGCGAAGCGCCAGTCAAGATCATGGTCATCGCGGACACCCATTTGCTGGGCTCCAAAAACGGACATTGGTTCGACAAACTCAGAAGGGAGTGGCAAATGTACAGGGCCTTTCAAACGGCCATGGCCCTCCACAAGCCCGAGCTCGTCTTCGTGTTGGGCGACCTGATGGACGAGGGATTGTGGTGTAGCAGGAGCGAATTCGAGTATTACGTAAAAAGGTTTTACAAACTGTTTACTGTACCCAAAGAAACGAAGATGTACGTAGCTGCCGGGAACCATGATATTGGTTTTCATTATCGGTAAGTGGGTACTTGACTCTTCTATCTGTTTTTCCACTAAATAAAATATCGTTTTCTTAACACGAATTTCTTTTGTGTTTAGTGTTAGTCCGTACTTGAACCACAGATTTGTGCAAGCATTCGATGCCCCGGCCGTAAGGCTTGTGAGCGTGAGAGGCAATCATTTTGTATTAGTTAACAGTGTGGCCCTTCAAGGAGACGGGTGCTTTTTGTGCAGGGAAGCTGAGCAACAACTGTCGAAAATTGAAAGTAAGTTGCACATCTTGAATAAAAATTTGTATAAAAAATATAGCACGTTTCATAACCGAGATATACAGGGCGTTCCTAAGCATCGTTCACATCCAAAAGGCTCCAAAATTCTTTGACTTATTTCGTTATAGAGAAAAATTATTAATAACGATTTTCTCTAAGTATTTTCTGTAAACGATTTGTTTTACAATACAAAAACCCTAAATAATATAATAACTATTAGACTACATTATAACAAATGTTGAAAGTGACTCCTTTCTACTCAAATAGTATCCGTTACCCTATACCAAATTAAAGCCAAATATCTCATCAAAAACTGATTTTTTAAAGATTTAGAGAAAAAACAAGCAAAATCTTGAAATTTCAACACCTTTTGTCATGAAATATGCCAAAGAATTACCCCCTTTTAGATGTGCACGATGTTTAGAAACACCCTGTATGCTAATAAAATCATTTGTTCTACTGGAATTTAATATTCAAGAATTCAATATGCAAGAAAAGAAAATAGAAAATAGCAATGCTAACATTTTTTTTTTGTTTTTTTGTGAGCTATTGGGTCGGTTTCTCGAATTAAAGTCAAACAATAGTCTCCAAGCACACCAGTTAGAACTGTTTAGAACCATTTAGAACGCTTTCAGAATCATTTATAACGCTTCAGAACCACTTAGAACGTTCTAGAATCATTTAGAGAACGCTTCAAAATCATTTAGAGCTGTCTAAAACCATTTAGAACGCTTCAGAACCACTCAGAACGTTCTAGAATCATTTAGAGAACTTCATAATCATTCCGGTATAACCGGAAGTCAGATATGGTTGAAAATATTTTAGAAAAACATTGATTATACCCTAGTCTTAATTTTTTTAGATTCTTAACTCTTTAGGAACTCCGAAAAGTTCTAATGCACTGCTACCGTGGAAAACTCTGTATAGTGTTATGATTTCCATTAACTTCAGTACCGTTTTGTTCCAGAAATTTTGCAGTGCTCAAAAGGAACATACTACAGCGATAAGTGCAAAGCTCATAAGAAGCTGGAGAAATATAGTAGACCTATACTAATGCAGGTAACTTCAAACATTCGAAATCTAATCACCAATAAAATTGTAATTTGAGCGATCTCCTCCAGCACTATCCGCTCTACAGACAATCGGATATGGAGTGCAACGATTTCGATGCGGCGCCGTATCCCGTAAAACAGGAAAGGTTCCGGGAGAGCTGGGAATGCCTCAGCCAGGAAGCCACTCTTCAGTTGCTTAATCAAGTGAAACCTCGGTTGTCGCTGTCGGGCCACACTCATCACGGTTGCACGAGACCCCTGCCCATGGGAGAAGGCCTAGAAGTTACCATACCCAGTTTCAGCTGGAGAAATAAAGATAATCCCAATTACATGTTGGTAAGTCGAAGAGGTTGATTTTCTTTCTTTCTTTTTCTCTTTAGAATAATGGTCTCAGGGACTTTATCGATAGGAAACGATTGACTAAGTCGAAGGGTACAAACAAAAAAAAATTCCCCAATCAGTTAATGAGTGACCTTTACAGTTTTTTTATTCAATCAGTCCTTTGATAATTATTGATGTATTTTTTTTTGTTTTCTTAGGCTGTTTTTACGCCGAATAATTATGCTTATATGAAATGCGAGCTTCCACGAGAATCGACGGTAATAAGTCTGTACTTATTTGGAGTTGCGTTGTTCCTGATATGGTTACTTTATAACTTCATGTGCAGGAAGAAACACAAGTATAAATTTCGCTGACACAGCCTGAATTTTTGTTAATTTCTTCTTTTTTTTTCCTTTTTTTTTAGATTTTTATCAGTTTTGGCTACTTTTAGTATATTTTTTAAATAATTGATGCCACATTTTTTTGCTGGAAATTCAAAAAAAAAGAATTTTCACGAAAGTATAATTGAATGGGTGATTGGAAAAAGGATAAAATTACAGTGAACCTTATTTCTGGTAAATCAAAAAAAACTTTTTTGCGGCGAAACGGTTAATTTACGAAAATAATTACTATTGCCCAATATATTTGAATACACACGGTACGTTTGATGCAAAAGTTTGGAAGGTTTATACCTCTTTGGTATAAAACTAGCTATTGATATTTAAAAGTACAAAAATTTTATCCTTTTTCCACTCAAAACCAAAAAAATTGTTAAAAAAATGAAACCAGTGAAAACTGTTTTTTAACATCTTTGCGCGTCTTTTTGAAGTATTGGTGCTACCAGTTATTAAAATCAAATATATCGGTATTAATTATCCATTTTACTTGAAACTCTGGGTTTAGTTTTTTAGGAAAAAAATCTGTCACAATGGAAAAACTGACCTCGGGTAGGAAAATATTGATCAATAGTTACGATCAATAGAATTATGATGTGAAGGAGGCCGGTAATTTTATTTTTTTTGCGCTCAGCGGGAAGATAAGGGAAATTGCCACTAAATGGCTCAATAATTAAACGGCACTAATTCGCCGTATTTTTGGAATTTTATCCTTTTTTCCAACCACCCATTCAATTATGAAATACTCTTCATTTTATTATTACTTTACTGTTTATTAACAAAGCAAATTACAACTTTAGTGATTTATGTAAGATATGACATGACTCAATTTACAAATTTATAGAATGACTTTTTCGACCTTTTTTGTATATTTTTAAATTTTATTATACAGGGTGTTAATTAATTAAATGCCGATACTTCAGGATGTGAATGTTAAGGATAAGGATAATTTGTTAAGGATAAATTTAAGAAGAACAGTTTATATCAATGTATGTCCTAAACCTCTTAGATTTCGAGCTACAGGGTGTTACAATTTTAGAAAAAAATTTTCTATCATAATTTGCTTATTACACCAAATATTTTTATATTGATATAAACATTGATATAAACTGTTTGTCTTAAATTCATCCAAATATTCACATCCTGAAGTATCGGCATTCAATTAATTAACACCCTATATCTTTTTAAATTTTAATATATGTTTAGATTAATCACACGATAAGATCACAAGATGAATTATTGAATATTACCTACTAACATTGTACCTATTTACCTGGGTTATGTGATCACTATACAGGGTGTCCCAAGAGAAAATGATTGACCGATTAAATGGGTTATTTTTCGTTGGGACACCCTGTACTAACTTGAAGATTAATTAGAGAACGTTACAACTTCCATAAATGTCCAAGAAAGACTTGACAGCTTTAAACATAAAAATATCGAGAATTAGTATACTTACAGGGAACAATTTTCTACATGAGCGACGTTCAGGTTCAACTTTATTCTTGAATATTACAAAATGACTTATATCAAAGTTTATATTTACATCTATTTTCGTACTCGGATTTGTGTAATTGAGATTTATTTTTCTTAAAAATATAGCGACAATTGCAACCTGAACGCAATCATTGCATAATTTAGAATTTATTTTTTTATCGCCAAACAAAACGTATAATAAGTACAAATCAATATCATCAAGTTCTCGATGTTTTTATGCTACAAAACGAACTTAAATCTCAGGACAATTTACTCAGAATAGAAGTATTAAAACGCAGTATTTAGAAAACGTAAAATAATGTACGTACAACTTGGCTTCTATTGTAACATTCCTGTATAGATATGTGCAAATTTGTTTGTAATAAGCTCAATTCCACGAGTTGAACAAAGAAAGATTATTAAAATATTAAAACAGTGGTTAGAGTGGGATAGTTGCAATCCCACAACTACACTCTTTCTTTTTCCTTTATAGGAGACTAATTAAAGTTGTCTTTGTTGCACATGTAGACCATATTACGTACAAATTTGCACTTATCTGTATGTATATTGCGAATTTCTGTTATATTTTAAACTTAAATATGTGAGGTTGTCGATTCATAATAGAAAAATACACTCGAACAAGACTGGAAAGGATAAATTTGTTGCTTGACTGATTTTCGACAATTTATTGAATGAATCATTGTTTTTTGCGATTCCCAGAATTTCGGAAAACTCGATTAATCGATTTTCAATCGACCTCATCACAATATGCATTTACTCAACAGCACTAACGTTTTTTTAAGTTAGGTCGCTCTTTGCACTGATATTTTATTTTGTTAATTTAACAGCGACTTAACTGATAGTTAAATAAGTATAAATTAAATATTTTTGTGATTTCCCCTGTGATAGGATGTATTTTTCTGAAATTAAATGTAAATACTTTAGACGTTCCTGTGGGCAGCTACTTCAAATTCTTTACGCTCTTAGTTTTTGTTAATGAAAATGTTTGAAATCGTGCCAAACAATTTCTCCAGTAAGATAATTAATTCCCGTGAATGTGAAAAAATCATTTGCTCAGTATTGGTTTTATATGCAGGGTGTCCCACATAAGAACCCACATAGAGCAGTGGCGTGAAGAGGAATCCAAAATATGTTGTTTTTCACTAAGTTACACTCCTTAGTAGTTATAGGCTAATAAAGTGGAATTACAAATTAAAAAAAAAATAATACCCAGTAATACTCAAAGTAAAACAACTAAATTTGGTAACAGTAAACGCTGGTTAAATATTAAACGTTGGTAACAGTAAACGCTGGTTAAATATTAAACGTTGGTAACATTAAAAACGCTACAAAATAAAGTCATGTACACCATTAATGTTACTTAACTTATATTCCCCTGCTCTGTGTCGGTTCTTATTTTGGGACATCGTGTATTTATGTAGAAAGTAGAACCAACGAAAAGCAGGCTTTTGATATTAGATTAGTAATGTAGTTATAATATGGGAACGCAATTTGAATCACAATTAAATGGATTCATTTTGTTGGTTTTTTTAGATATAATATAATGACTGTTTGATGTTGTTATTGCATTATAAAAATTTTATTTTAACCTACTTAAAGTAGGAAATTCCTTTAAACATTTCTAAACATTCCATGTAGGTATTCGATGTGTGCCAAATTTTATTGTTATCGCGATTTTATTAAAATGTATAATTATGGTCCAAAATATATGTATACACTGCAGTTATTCGTTTTATTTAACTCACTAGTTTATAATATGCAGCTTAAAAAGATCTACATAAAATTTTTGTAATGAAGTTTTTTTGTCTTCTACAATAACAGATATATTGAGCTTTTCCATACTATTGTGCCACCTTGTATGTAGCTTTTATATTGGCAAAAATGTTAATCGAAGTACAAGCACTACTATAATGAAAATATCACATTAGCTCCAGAAATTTGACTAAATGATAAATCGCGGCGATTTCATCATTTATTCTTATCAAAAATAATACAAGAAAAAACCATATCTTTAATATTTCTCAAAGTATTTTAATTTTTGTTTATGCCGGTAATTAATTATTGCTGAGCTTATTTTTGGCATAACCTTGGAACATTAATACATATTATAAAATTGCTTAAAAATATGATGTTAATATCACGAGTTAAGTTTTTATTTAGATATGAAGGCGTTTCCTTAATATCCGAAATAAATTTTTTTCAGGAAAGCGATAGCGGAAAAGAATGCAATCGTTCTGTATCTTATCTGTTAATATTAAGGGTTTTCTTTATTTAAAAAAACAGTGAGTAAAAAGTGTCTTAATTTGAAATTAAGATAAAAATTGCATCACAAATTTTTGCGTTTCTTTAAAATAATGACGTTCATTTAAGTTGAATTACGTATACAATGCAAGTACAATTACGTGTACATATTTATTTATTATCTAATTACTACTCAATACTTTGTTTGCATTTAATAATTTTTTATTAGATAATTATATTTGTGTACATAAATATACAAATAATAATACCATTTACTTTCTTTTGACCAGGGGGCAAATTTGAGTATTTAAAATAAAATTATTGAAAGGATTAAACGTAAATAGATTTAGATATTTGGATAATATTTACCTTTATTTAAAATATTTAACACATTTTATAAATAATAATCATTAAAATTATTAAAAGGATGTTGATATGATGGTAACGTGTACTCTTGGTGCATTAATTAATCTCTGCACATGCCAAATGTTATTTAAACTGATAAAAAAATAAAAATAACAATGGTAATTAGTCATGTTAATCATATTTTAATTCTATTACTAATTTCTTCAAATAACGTGCAATAAGTGCATGTGCCTGGCCCCCTTATCAGGCACGCGGATGCTGCTCGGCCCCTACCGCGCTGTATCTCGAGAACCGTGGAAGATACGAAAAAATGCTTCGAAAGAAAATCATATATAATTGCAAGATCTAGAAATTTCTCAATAAAATCATATTTCTTATTTGGCACGAGAATTAAAAAAAATCGATATTTGTGAGCCTTGACCTTAAGTATCTCGGTATCCAGACACAGGATTTTAGAAGATTTTTCCATTAGTCCAACTAATTGCCTCAATAACTTCAAAAAATAATAATCTCCCATGAAATATACCGCCAAAATTGGTTTTCGATTAAGCAGCTTATATAAATTTCACCAATTACCCAATGCATTCGTAACCTGCGTGTCCAAATATTTTTCAAAATAGTTTAATTATCTTATATTTGATAATTTAAAGTGCCTAACTTACTAAGCCTAAACTAATGTTTTTTCGACTAACGAATCAATATCTACAAATATTTGCAATAAATTAATTCTTTAATGAAATTTAATCATGTAAGAATTAAACTGATATCAATGTTGAATTATTTTTTTAGAAAGTTCTAGGTAGCTAGGATACCCAGACTGTCCTTGATTACATAAAGAAAATCGACATTAGTTAAATAAATTTGAAAATTAGTTACAATTAAATTAAGAATAAAAGTAATTTAGAAGTTATAAAGATGATTTTATTGCAATGAAATATGGTACTTGTTTTGGATTGTATAAAGATACAAATTTGAGGTGGAAAAAATTGAAAGTACTTAAATTTTGCAAAAAATTGTACTTTTAAAATAAAAAAATCAAAAATACTTTAAATTCTTATAGTAAGTCTAGCAACTAAAACCAATTTTAGATAGTAACAATGCTTTTATTTCAAAATCTGGTGATCCCCAAGACCTCTTGTTATAGCATTGGATAAAATTACGCAGACTCTAAATTGTTGCTACCTAATTATTTTAAAAACAATAATTACTATATAGAATTCATAGGTCTTATTGCACAATGTCCATTGGTAACAATACCAAAACATGCTCAATTTGACGTAGGTTAAGGAACTTTCGCAATTAAACCACTTTAAATTCAGCTAACACCATGTTTAAACGGATTCGACGGATAATCGGCGGCCGCTGCAAATGTAAAACAATCCATTTCATAGTCGAAACCTAATAAGTATATAAACCGATTAACGACATTGATCGAATTTATTCGCGATTGAACGCCGGTAGTGGAAGCGCCCAGAAATTCGCCCGTCGCCTATTCGAGATTCGAAAAAATGGCCAAAGTGGCATCATCTCTTCTTGCAGCGTTTCTTCCGCAGGCTCTGCCATCATCAGTGCCAGAAACTGAGCCTTCCAGGTCGGTTTCCAGGCCTCAAAAAGTGATTACGATGGAAGAAGTGTCCTGGCACGATAGTGCAAACGACTGTTGGATTATCATATACGATCGAGTTTATGATGTAACAGGATTTTTACAAGAGGTAAGCCAATTTGTTGATTTGTAAGTGCATGATAAATTAATTTATTGAATGTATTAAAGCATCCTGGTGGCGATGAGCTGCTTTTGGAGTATGCTGGAAGGGAAGCTAGTGGTGCTTTCAGAGGAGCAGGGCACAGCGTAAGTGCTGTAAGATCTTTGGACAAATTCTGGATAGGAGAGTTGCCGATCAATGAACGGATATTCAGGAAGCAAGGGGGTTTGAAGCTTACAAATATACCAGAATAATAATAGTTTCCCTAATTTTCTTATGTTACCGCTCTCACGATTTGTGTCTAGTATTACCTTTTTTAATTCACTAATTAAATTATTATTGTTTGTTTTAATTAATTTACAGTATTAATTGTAATTGTTTCAGGGCTAATATTAAATTATTATAGTGTCGTTTTTTAGTTAGGAATTCATTATTTATTTTAAACCACTTGTCTAATGATTGTCTTATTTAAAAATAAATACTTATAACTTTTCCTAAAAAAAATATCTTTTTTTATTTCTATTACAATTATGTAGATTCACGTAGAAAAATAGAATATATATCCAAAAAATGCATTTATTATCAATCGGGGAAAAACTCGAAAATGCGAAATAATAAAGAATAATTATAAAAATCATCTAGATCTTTATTATGAAAAAAAATGAGAATTATATGGGATACTTTAAAACCAAGAGGAAACTGTATAACAATCTCAAAAATCTTAAAAAAGCAAGAAAGTAGTCACAAAAATTAAAAAAAAGTGCGATTTCAAAGAAAGGAAATTTTCAAAATTTGTAAAAACTTAGCCACCTATTGAGTTACAGTCAAACTATCACATTTTTCAATTTGACGACATTTGACGCTGAGTCGCTGACAGTATTGACACTATTGACAGTTGGTGATAGAAAATCATAAATAAACAAACATTATTTTGACCATCTAAATTTAGTTTTTCCTAAAATGCGATGGAAATTCCAAAGTAAAAATAGCTTTCATTCAACGTACGAAATGCACATGAAGCTTAGCTCCCTCGTTTAGCTCCCATAAAATTATTAAATGCCCTCAAAATGGCAAGTTCTACGGGAAGACCAGATTGCAATTTGGAGGATAGGAGACTATGGATCGGAAATCTAGATCCCAGGATTACTGAGTAAGTTTTGAAACGCATTTTTCGCTTTTACCATTGCATACAAGGTGGTTCATTACAATGCAAACAAGAGAATCAGCTTGATAACGAACCATCTTTAAGAAAACTCTAAAGATATCATAAATGCTAACTTATACTATTTTCTTTATTGGTATCACCTTTTGAAACTGGTGCAAAAACACGGTGCCATTGAAAAATTTGATCTAATTTTTCATCGAAATGGACCACTCACAGGCCTACCTAAGGGGTATGCTTTCGTTACCTACATCAAGAAAGAAGATGCCATTATAGCCAAGGAGGCCTTGAACAATATTCCAGTCGGCCAGAAAACTATCACTGTAACTTGGGCACACAGCATGAACAATGTAAGTATCTACCGATATTAATCATATCGTTTACTTGATCGATCGTTATTTGTAGTGATTGAATTCGAATGTATTTCAGGATGAAGGGGACATACCTAAAGAAGAAATATTCATACCGGCATTGGCTATGTCGAAATCTGGTAGCAAAACGGACAGGATGACCCAGATTCAAGCCATCGAAGCCAAACTGAAGCTAATGGAACGAAAGCAGGAGGACGAATTGAAAATAAATGATACTGTTGCAACGAAGGCGCCTGTAATAGTGCAGTACCAGCACAACAAAGTACAAAATAGTAATATACCATTAAGTGGCCAAGCGAATCCAAAGAGTAGTATTAGGCAAAAAAGTAGATATCACAAACCCTATACGAAAAGCAAGTATACAAGTAGATAATATATTTTAAAAGGAGTTAATTAGGAGAGTAAATTATTGTAATTGTGTTCTCATTTTTTTTATTTCTGATTTCTTATGTGTTAATTTTAAGTATTTATTTTTTTCATTTAAATTATGTAGGTATTTAGTGAGTCATGTTTTGTTTGTTAAAACATTGTACATTTTCCACTAATTTAATAGAATAAACAGACTAATTATACAATATTCCTACATTACCTTTATGAAGAAGCAACTCGAAAATATTACAAAATTATTAGCAAAACGATGGGAAATCACCAGTTTTTTTAATTAAATCATTCTAATACTATCTATTTAATAATTTTTTTATTATTACCTTACCTACTACCCATTTAACATACACCTTCCACTTTTATCTCTTTTGTAAAATATTTTGTGATCAAAATTTAAAATTAGCCCAATTCAAATATCGAAAAAGACCATAAAGCACATTCAAACTACTTACTAACGTGCGGAAGTTAGCTACAAAACAACCTAACCTAACAATTTTGATACACCGATCTTCGATTAAATAATATTATAATTAATTTTAAAACTATAAACCTTAATGACAACGATATAACTTTTAACTTTAAAAATGTTCTTTCGAAGTCTTCAAAATATCGGTAGTGCAGCCATCAAACAAAAACGGTATATTCAATCGAGCAGTACGTTATTTAGCGAAGAAAGAGAGAATCCAGTGTGGAGAACGATCAGAATATTAGCCGAAGACTTGCAGTTCAGAAAACGCAAGTATCCAGTAACACAAGAAGATTACGATTTAGTTGTTTCGAGGGAATTTCCTCGACATGTGGATATTGTAATAATAGGCGGTGGTGCAATTGGCACTTCAATAGCCTATTGGATCAAAAAGTTTACGAACTATGATGGAGTGAGCTTGATTGTCCTAGACAAAGATCCGACAGTAAGTTTTTTAAAAAATATTGGGAATATTCAAATAGTTATAAAACTTTCTTGCAGGGCAAAAAATGCACAACGGCCATATCGATGGGCGCTATGAAACAGCAATACTCGTTGCCGGAGAACGTGGAAATGGCCTGTTTCGGTGCCGAATTCCTGAGGCATTTCAAAAAGGAATTCGGTGCCGAAGCAGAAATAAATTTAAATCCTGCTGGATATTTGCAATTGGCCAGCGAGGAAGGAGCCCAATCATTAATCGATAGCCTGAAATTACAGAGCGAATTCGACACCAGATCAGTCCCCCTTAGCCCTGAAGAAATAAAGCAAAAGTACGTTTGTAATAAAACAAAGGCGAAGTTTCTTTTAGTTTTTAAGCTGCAAAATTTCTCATCTTTTATTGTAGGTTTCCCTACATAGATGTATCAGACATAGCTGTTGGTAGTTTAAGTGCCGAAAAGCAAGGTTGGTTTAATGCCTGGGAGGTTCTCACACATTTAAGAAAAAAAGCTGCCAAAATTGGAGCGCAGTTCTATACTGCCGAGGCCGTAGATTTCGTCGCTGAAAAGAGAAGTGATATCGTTATTGAGGGCATGCCACCCGGTTCTTATCAAACTGTAAATAATCTTAATGTAAGTGAATGAATTGGTATAATCAGCAATTACTAATAGACATTACTGTAGGTTAAGCTGATGAATGAAACTAAAATTAGAACGGTGCAGTTCTCGCATTGTATAATCGCAGCAGGTCACGAATCTGTGAATATTGCTAAAACTCTGGGAATAGGTGTGGCGCCTGGAATGTTGTCAGTTCCTTTACCCATTGAAAAAAGGTATTTCTGCACATTTTAATTTTTGTAGAGACCATTCTTGTAATTTTGAGTAAGTAAAGTGATTATAATTGGAAGCTGTTTTTTTAGAAAACGATTCGTATATAGTTTTACAAGCGCTAGTCATACTCCAGGTGTAAATAGCCCAATGATTGAAGATTTCACTGGATTGAGTATTAGAAGAGAAGGTTTCGGGGGTATGTTTCTAGTAGGGGCAGCTCCTCATCCCGATGTTGCACCACCTAGTGATAGTGAAGAGGATAAAACGGCCTTTTTCAATGATGTTATTTTACCCCGTTTGTCGGCAAGAATTCCATCATTCAAGGACGCTAAGGTAATACAGTTATTAACACTTCCTGCCTGGTTTGGAACAGAAAGTAAATAATTTCAAAAATAGAGCTATATCAATACATATACGAGTATTTGAGTTGAGCTACATTTTTGTTTAAGTTAACTGGATCTTGGTCTGGTGATTACGAGTTTAACTACTACGATGGAAATGGTATTATGGGAGCGCATCCTTACTACATGAACATTCATTTTGCGACAGGATTTAGCGATCAAGGTATAAAATTATCACTGTATTTTTTGCTTTACCTTCTAACAAACAAGTACCTGGAAATTCTGTATAAATTATTTGCACTTATTAACTATTTCAAGTTTCTGTATATAGGTAACACTGTTCTTAATAATTAGTATGCATAAAATTAGAGAGATTTCTCAATCTGTTTGATCGAAAACCCATGTTTACAAATGGTACAAAACTTTTAAAGACAGTTGGGAAATCGCTAAAGACTTGCCTTGTTCCGCAAGGTCTTCATGGTCTTGGACCTTTTCAACCAATGAAAACGACGAGAAAATGAAGGAAATTTAGTTCGAAAATGATCAAGCTAGTATTAGAGAGGTGGCATCTCCCGTTAAACTGCTCGTTTGATTTTGCTCAACCAATCAGACATGCTACAAAGAAAACAAAGAAAATTCGCAGAAGGAGCTAAGAATCGTACCAAAAATGGCCTATAAAAATGTTTCGATGATTGGAAAAGGCGTCTGACTATGTGTATCGCTTCAAAAGGAGCATATTTTAAAGAACACTCAAGAAATGTTAATGAAGATTAGGAATTTTGCGTTTTATTCCAAATTTCGGGGTACTTTTTTGTCACAGTAATATATTAATAAAAAATTTATATACAGGAATCCAGCAGGCGCCAGCTGTTGGAAGAGGTGTAGCCGAATTAATATTAGACGGTGGTTTCCAGACTATCGACCTTACTCGATTAGGTTTCAATAGATTCATCGTCGAGAAGCCCATGTTTCAAGTTAAAGTTTCATAACAATTTTATTTGTGTTGATTAATATATTTATTTTGCGTTAGATATAAAATTTATACGAAATAAATTATTTCATTTATATTATTGACGTCAATATCTGGTCCCAAAAGCTCCAAGAGCTTGCGTATAAATACGTAGCAACCACTCATTAATGCACTTGAACTAAAGCAAACTATCGATAATATTTTTAATAACAAATAATTTCAAACTGTCATTATGCAAGATTGCGTTAATGATTTTAAGTAACAATAATACCGAAGATAACCTTATATGAACTCCGTCTTATTCAATTGTAAATAATCCACAAACAAGTCGTATCACAATCCTAACATTTGCTGTACGGTAATAAACAAAAAAAAATGCTCAACATTTTCTCCTCGGGATCGCGGTGTGCGTTTCGACGGTGCTTCTCGACGAAACCTAAAGTCGGCATACTCGGGGTGCCGTTTGGAAAAGGGGGCGAGATCACAGGGGCGCACAATGGCCCTGACAGTATTAGGAAAGCGGGGTTAATTGATAGATTAGCCGGCATCGGTAAGTGAAGATGAATGAAGGTATTTCTTGTTTATAATAATCTTTTATAGGGGATGATTTGGAAGTTAAAGATTATGGGAATCTGGAGTACGATGTGATACAGGGGATCGACACGACAGTTCCGAATATGAAGAATTACCACGACATTATAAGTTGTAACCAAGTATTATCGCAAAAAGTAGAGAGCATTCTGAAAGAGGGGCAGGTTTGCTTGGCTTTGGGGGGAGATCATTCTATAGGTAAGTTGTTAGATTTAGCATTTAAAGTGTGTTAATTTTTGTTAAAGCTATAGGGACAATAGATGGACATGTTAGAGCAAAAAAAGATGTATCTGTATTATACATAGACGCACATCCAGATCTAAACACAAACAAAACATCTGATAGCGGTAACATTCACGGAATGCCTTTGGGGATTTTAGTCTCGGAACTCTCAGATTACTGGCCTTATTTACCTGGTAAAACATTGCTATCTATACTCAATAACCTCAATAATACTCTTATATTTAAGGAATGGATTGGCAAAAACCAATATTATCTCTAAGGAACGTCGCATACATAGGATTAAGATCAGTTGATCCCTACGAGCGGCTCATCATCGACAAATTAGGAGTGACTGCTTACGACATGGATGATGTAGAGGAGCATGGCATAAGTTCCGTAATATCCATGGCTCTGAAGGCTATTGATCCAGAAGAAAACCGCTCAATTCACGTTAGCTTCGACATTGATGCACTCGATAGTTTGGTAGCGCCTTCCACAGGATATCCAAGTAATAAATTTAGCAACTTTATCATTAGTAATTTAATCGTAGATGATTTCTACAATATGTGGTAGAACTAAGTCATAGGAGTTCTACAGGATGTTCCTTAATGGCATGCTAATATTTAAAGGGGTTATTCTTGGACCCATTTGTCCTAAACTTATAATTTATTATTTTTAAATTTTAGCATAGCGGCTAATGTAGCGGCAGCGGACAAATTAATGAATTTATTTTTTTTCAAGAAATCAAATTTTTATTTCAACATTAGGGAGTGGCTTATCTTTTTTTCTCCAAAAATCATCTCGAAATTTCATAAAAAAAAACCTATAATAGTATCACAGTTATAACAAAAAATTGATTTTTTTCTTAAAACTTTCTTAAAACATCCTGTATCTCAAAAGTTAAGACGTTTAGGACATAGGTTCATATAAAAGTTTTTCCTTAAAATAGGTCCAGGAATCGCCCCCTTAAATATTAGCATGTTATTTTGGAACACCCTATATAAACCTACACATTCTTTCTTTAGTTCCAGGTGGTTTGACGTTGAGAGAGGGTGTTCAAATTTTGGAAAAAGTGTTCGATACGGGTCGTTTAGGGGCGATGGACCTTGTGGAAGTGAATCCGAATATCGGTTCAAAAGAAGACGTTAGAAGAACAGTCGAAGCGGCAGTTCACTTAATCTTAGCAGCGTTTGGTAACAAAAGACGTGGAGTTAGACCTAAAAATGAAACATTACCTTTACAGACGTTTCCACCAACACGACCTCAAATCGCTTAAAATTTAAACAAATCTTTTAATCCCTTGTTTTTTTATTCATTTTTAAATGTTTTTTAGAGGATTGTATAAAATCTGCTGAGGAAAAAACCTAAAATTACACATCAATCGGACAAATCTGCTAAGATTTATACAATTCTTTACTTACATTAAATTCAAAATAGAATTTGTAAAAAATAAATAAATACTGTAATAATTACAATTATTACTTAGGACCCAACATGTTCTCGGGCTTGACCCACTCATCGAACTGCTGCTCGGTGAGAATCTTCAGCTTCACGGCCGTCTTCTTCAGCGTCGAGTTATCCTTGTGCGCGGTTTTCGCTATCAGAGCGGCCTTATCGTACCCAATGTGCGGATTCAGCGCCGTCACCAGCATCAGACTCTCGTGCAACAGCTTGCTGATCTTCTCCTTGTTGGCCACGATGCCCTGAACGCAGTTCTTCGCGAAGCACTTGGAGCTGTCCCCAATCAACCTGATGGATCTCAGCGTGTTCGCCACCATCATCGGCTTGAACACGTTCAACTCGAAGTGGCCGTTCGATCCGCCGATGGTGCAGGCCACGTGGTTGCCCATCACCTGCGCGGCCACCATGGTGATGGCTTCGCATTGCGTGGGGTTCACCTTTCCCGGCATGATCGAACTGCCCGGCTCGTTTTCGGGCAGGGCGAGTTCGCCCAAACCGCATCGCGGACCAGACGCCAAGAATCTGATGTCGTTGGCGATTTTCATCAACGAACAGGCGACGGTATTGAGCGCACCGGAAACTTCTACTATAGCGTCATGGCAGGCCAAAGCTTCGAATTTATTCGGTGCGGTAACGAACGGTAATCCAGTAAGTTCAGCGATTTTCTCCGCCACTTTTTTGTCGAAACCTTTTCTCGTGTTCAAACCCGTACCGACAGCAGTACCGCCCAAAGCCAACATGTACAACCTATAAAAACGGTAAATTTTTACTACAATTACCTAATTCATTTATATAACTTACTAACCTAGGTAAAGTGTCTTTTACTCTATCGATTCCGAATCTCATCTGTTGTTCGTAGCCGCTGAACTCCTGTCCCAAGGTGAGGGGGACGGCGTCTTGAGTGTGCGTCCTGCCGATCTTGATGATGTCTTTAAACTCGCACTTTTTCTTTTCCAAAGCGTCGGCGAGCTGCTCCATGCCCGGCAACAGGGTGTTTTCGATCTCTATGGCGGTGGCAATGTGCATGGCAGCGGGAAACGTATCGTTGCTGCTCTGGCTCTTGTTGACGTGGTCGTTGGGATGGACGGGGGTTTTCGAGCCCAATTTACCGCCCAGTATTTCTAAAATAGATTTTTTCAATTTTTTTACACTAATTTTTAGTGGTAACGCGTACCGATTGCACGGTTGCTGATCACTTCGTTGGTGTTCATGTTGGTTTGGGTTCCGGATCCAGTTTGCCAGATTACTAAGGGGAAATGGTCGCAGTACAATTTGCCGGAGATGACCTCGTCGGCGGCTTTGACAATGGCGTCGACTATTTTGTCTTCGAGACCGTACTCTTTGTTGACTAGGGCAGCAGCTTTTTTCAATATCCCCATAGCTATGATGACAGGATACTTGAAAAATTAACGACGTAATCAGCTTTATTGTTGGAAAGGGGCATTGCAATAAACGGAAATTAACGATATGATTTTTTAAACTCGTGTATATGTTACGGATAAAGTTAGATAAATGACTAAACCTAGGTTTACCCAGGTAAAGTGCGAAATGCAACATGGGACAAAACGTAGGTTTAGTCGTTTATTTAACTTTAACCTTAACATATTCAACAACATGAAATATGATATCGGCCACAAGGTATCTTATAAAATAGTTTTGAATGTGCATTTAAAACTTGTTCTCATAATAAGTACTTAATTTTAATGATTGGCCTTGAATCGTTTAATGGATAATTACTGCTTGACAAGATCAGCTTGGCACTTGGGATTTTTGTATTATAGGATGCGCGTTGGTAAATTTAACAGGTGGAGGAGAATTGTATTGAATGAAGTTACAGTTTTTTTAACGTCATAAAGAGGCTAATAATTTTGTAAGATCAAATTTGTAATGGGATAAAAATAATTAAAATTCTAGTAATCAAATTTCATAATAATTTCAAAATTTTATCATCGAAATTAAATAAATTCGAGGTATGAAAATAAGTTGGAAAAACAAGTATATTATCAAATGACCTCTAAATAAAAACACAAAGAGATTAACATATCAGAAAATGAAGCGTAGGATTTTAACAATAAATGATTTTTAATGCAATATTTAATTATGGATTTAATATATTTTTTCTATATTTCTAAATTTGTATTGTAAGTAAAAGCACATGTAATGTGGTATGTACATATGTAGGTACTTCTTAAAAAATTAGTGCTTGGGTAATTTTAGAGAAAGTTTAAAAGTAAATATGCATTGTTTTATAATAAATTATCAATAATTATGTAACTCTGGAGTAAATTAATGAGATAAGGATGGGCAATACATGTTTTTTTAATTGAAATCCTTTACTTTATGATTAATTTTTGAAACATATTTCTCTGAAGCTACAAGTAAATGTTCACCAGAAATTAACTATGATTTCTAGTGCATTTAACCCTCGAATAGTCGCGCGAAAATTTTTAACATGAGTAGTCGCGTCGGTCTCACAGACCATAGGCCCCATAAATACATAGCGGAATGTACTTTTAAAAAAATACATGTGGGGGTTGTTTAAATAACAATGACTAATAAATAAAGACTAATAAAATGACTAAAAAAAGCCAAATACAGTACTTATTGCTATTTTTTCTAGCTTGATTTTTAGAATATTTGGTAAACAAGGTTTGTAGTCGGTCTCACAGACCGGGCGCGACTATTGGAGGGTTAATACTGAAAATCTTAGTTTTTAAGTTACTAGGTGTGATAGTAAATTCATTTTTTTGCCACTTTACAGGAACTGTTTGAGATTCAAAACCCAGATTTTCTACTGTATATTTTCGATAATAGAAGATATTTTTGAGCATCAATTACAATATGTAAATGAAATTTTTCTTTCTTAAATCCTTTGACAAAAGACATGTCACTGTGGAACCATACTTAATTTTTAATATTTTCTGCATAAGTATTACTAACAAAAAAACTGGTAAATCATTTCCGATAGATTCATTACCAACAAAGAAACATTAAATAAATATTCAATTTAATACATTCAAAAAGACAAAGGTAGAAAGTCCAATAAATTTGTTACCATTCCTACAATCCATTTTTTTCCTTTATTTCTCCAAGTTTAAAGATTTTTAATTCAAAGAAAAAAAGACATTGAACTGTCTTAACATATTTCTCTAATATGAAAAAAAAATAACTTACTGGCATCCTTTCAAACTCTCCTCCAATGGGAAAATTAAGTACAGACCTAACAGTTTGGGCCCCATAATATTTATTCGAAGGAACCTTCAGTTCTCCAAAAGTGTCTTTCTCAATGCGGAAGTCTCCCTGCAAATCAAAAGGATCATCAGGATTAAAATCATCCTTGGAGTCAGTGCCAGAACAAGTCTCATTCGTGCAACCGTCAGTATCACTTTTACTATCATTAACATTGCACTGCATGATACAAGTTCAACTGTCAGATTGAAGTTCAAAATATTTGACAACTGTGCGAACTGTGACATAACACATACCATATTCGCTAATTGCGGAGTGAACGATTCCTTGTACAATTTGAATATGGTTGCGGCGCCTCCACGCAATCGTATCTGACTGGAAAGCCTCGACAAAGCCATGATTGCTTTGGTTTTATTTCTTTCTGTATGCCTTCACCCCTGACCCTCTCCTTCCGCGCGGATTACGGAGTTAAAAAACACACAACCTTACTGATAAACTTACCGGATGACACTTCTGACAGTTATCAGCTGAGCCGGTGACACTGATGACAGCTGATGTAGGCAAGTTAGGGATTTAGTACGAAAATGAAAGTTACTAAAATATGATAGGAAGGGAATCGCGATGGCCTCGTTCTTATAAGTATTTGGGACATTAAAAAATAAATTATGGAAAATCCTGTACAAAATATTACTGTAATAAATCGTTTGGGCTAATTAAGTACAAAAATTTATTATACTACATATTATTATAGATGGCATACCTGTTTGGAGGACGACTTCTTGGATGATCCTTGTGCAGTCTGCTGCTTTTGAATGTTTTTTATAGACAATGTTCTGCCCCATCCATTTATATTAAGTCGAATAAAAAATTGTCGAGATAAAATAATCATATTGAATTTTAATTAGATTTGTCGTCAAATTGACAGTAAATATTCACGTATTTCGTGGAAATGTTTAAAAGTTAAATCTGAAGTTTTGCCAACTGTCTGCCAAATATTTAAATTTTCCTATTTCCTAAAAATCATAGTCAATAATATTTTCGTTTCAATATTTATTGTGATGAAAAAAACAATTAAATTATTTATAAAAAATAAATATATTACTGCCATTTTAGAATTTGCACTCACAGTGTACGTGCAATTCCTTGAATGACAATTTATATTTAAAACCAATTAAAACCTGAACCATACTCCATTCATTCAAGTTCGCAATATGGTCTATAGGTGCAACAAAGACAACTTCTATTAGTATAAAAAAAAGGAAAATGAAGGAGTGATATTTGTGTGATTGCAACTTTCTCACTCTAACCAGTCATTTTGGTAATCTTTCCTTGTTCAACTAATTGACCATCATAGAAAAGGTATAATAGACCTAATAGAAAGGTATAATGTTGACCATGTTGGAAACTGACCCATACATTGCACGTAAAACAAGACTAACTTTATGGAATAAGCCCCAGGAGCTTCCTTTATGTGTTACGGGTAATGTTAGATAAACGACTAAACCTAGGTTTACCCGGGTAAAGTGCGAAATGCGGGTAAGGTAGGTTTCTCCGGTTTCTCGTGGCCGTTTCAAACCCAAAAAAACCTTTCCTACCGTACCCATGTTTCTTTAGTATTTCGCACTTTACCTAGGTAAACCTAGGTTTAGTCTTTTATCTAGCTCATAGACATTAGTTAATAGGTGTATGATCTAGCTTTATCCGTAACATATGCATTACTACATATCTGGTCGAGTGTGAATCAAAACCTTATAATTGACCCGAGACCCAGTTTGTGCTTTGAATTTACGATTTTGTTCAAATATTGTAAGATCAACTGCATGAAATGATTGATCATTATTACCCAACTGTGTATTAATTTGCGATATCTCGTGAACAAAAATAGGGAATGATGCAAAGTATAAAATTTTTACCGTTACAAAAACTTCCAATTTCCTTACTATTTTTCAAAACTTCAACAGAATTCCGTTACATGCATTTCAGTTAAAAATTAAACAACAATATGATAAAATAATTTATATTAAGATTGTAGAAATATGAGTAACAGAAGTGTACAATGCAATATATAGGGTACAAATTAGATAAACGAAAAGAAAAAAAAAACATTGGTATTTATTAGCGTCACCTATACTGCAATCTGAAGTTGCCACAATTTGAAGTTTTACTAAAAAAAAACACATTCCCATTACTGAATCAAAACTCATCTTTCTACAATAGTTAATTTCATGTTACAATATCCTTATTCAGAAAGAAGCGCAGCACAACATACAGATTCGCAATAATAAACTAAATAAGAAATTAACCTATTGATGTGCACATTGAATGCCGGGCTGCGCGTGATCTTCGTCATCGCTAGCGTAGGCTTCTCCTCTAGACGAGTGCGAACCCTTATCAGCCGGATCGAAATCGTTTAAATCTACTTCTTCCACGTGTTCTCCTACGGGCATCGTGAAAGCCGGCCTGGGAGGTAATAAAGTTTCTAACGCTTTTAGATTAGTCTCACTAGTAAAGTGGTTATCCGGAAATTTGACATCAAAAGAAATGTACAAGTTCCCCTTATCGAACGGATTTTTATAACGTGGCATGCCCTCGTTCGTTACACATTTTACACCGCCCGGTTTCACGACATCGCCGGCGGGATGCTTTATAAGAATGTCTCTGCCGTCCAGATGGCGGATCACGAACGAAAAGCCGCACAGCGCTTCCGTCAACGAAAGCGTGTGCTTGACGTGCAAATCGTCGCCGGTCCTTTGGAACTTTTCGTGCGGCTTCTGCTGCAAAATGATCACCACGTTTCCCGGCTCGACGTCGGGCTGTTGGTCGCCTTCGCCTCTAAAGAATATCTTCTGGTTCTCCATCATGCCCTTGTCGATGTGGACCTCCAGGACCTTGGTTTCATTGCACACTTTTTTCCCTTTGCAAGTTACGCATCTGTCTTTTTCTTTGATCATCTCGCCTTCACCTTAAAACAGATCAATACAGGCTAATAAAATATTTTGTACTTGATTGAAATTAACAAAGCTTCAAGCAAAAATTACAGTTCTGTAATTATATCAATAACTTGATTCAAATAGATCTCTTTGTTTGTTTAGATATCTGATGGATGGTGTTATGCAATGTGTGGAACTTCATTTTTTAACATTCCAACTTATCTAAACTCTAGATTAATGATTTTTGTACTTTCTTTTAATAGTATCTTGACCCATTGTTGCATAACATCATCCAATAGATGGTTCAATTTTACTTGATATAATGAGGTATTATTATTTCAAATTAAAGAATAATTGTAATTGGAATAAAACATTTTAATGTTCTAATATAAATGGACTAATTTTTAGAATGTCGGCGTCCTTTAGAAAAGTGACGATAAAATTACATGTTCTTTGCGAATACAAAGCTAAAGCTTTCAAGCTCAAGGACGCCATTGACGTTGAAACGACACAAATATAACCAATTCGAAAAATGCAAATATGAATTTGTATGGAGAAATATTTACAAACTCATTCAAATGATGTATTATTTTTTGATTAAATTTTACTAATGTTAAAAAAGCGACCTTAATTAAAACGTAAGAAAAGGTCATACAAACAATAGTCCATAAATTAACAAAAAAATGGGATAATATGCCAACTAAACTGGGATCTGTGAGGGAATCTGTAATACAATAGAAAATTGTATTGAATCTGTTCAATTAATTTGTTTTTGAATACGTAAATAGTAAAGCAAAAAAAAATGTCGTAGCAAAAACAATGTTTTATGTTGTAAGATTAAAAAATTGCAAGAAATAATCAAATGTAATGAACTTTCATGCAAATAAATGGAATTTGCACTGTAATCGCAGTACCAAGGAATACAATGATTATTACTAAATGTAAGTTATAACTATCAAGTACTTATAGGGGATATTATTTTATAAATAAACTATTTTCAGAGATCAAAGTGTTAAATTTATCATAATACCTCGATACCAGGGAATCTGATGCATAGACTCTACCTGGTAGAAGTACTCTCGCTTTGAATGTCATCATTTTTGTTTTGTATGAATACATTAGCTCAATTTTTCGAAAGGGTTTTATGCAAGGTTCAATCAACTTTAGGACTCTGTATCACATTATTATTAAAACTTATGGATCTCCAAATCCCTATAAAATCACTTTATACTGTTAGACCATTACAATGGCTATATCTCCCAAACGAAAGATGATATCAGAAAGTGGTTAAAACCGTTTCTAGCAAAATTTAATGAAGTTTGAAAACACCATCGAACCTTTAATTGTTCATGAATTAGAGAACCAAAGGCAACCTATCTCTAGATAAAGATTTGCTGCACTTCCAACAAGATGGATCACCTTTTCACTATGCACCTGCAGTGAGGCACTGATCGGATACTAATCATACGAACAAATGGATTGGAAGGAGAGGTCCTATTGAGTGGCCATCGAGATCACCAGACTTAACGACACTTGATTTTATTCTATGGGGTTACCCCAAGTCATCAAATTTTGTTATTAGGCAAGGTTTCACAATTATTATTGATTTACCTTGTACAATTACTATTTATACCATTGGATAGCATTTTTTATAGGCTTTTCAATGATGTATTAGAAGTTGGAGGTTGCTATTTAAATTTCAACAGTTGGGGTACAAAATGGGGGTGAATTCTTTTTTATGTCATTTTAGTTTCCCCTTCATATCCTAGAAGCGTTTTTTGGCATTTTATGATATCATTAGTTTAGAAAATATAATAGAAAATATATTTGTTTATAAATTGTCATACTGTAAACAGTAATGCAGATATACAGTAAGGAAAGTTCTTTTTCTAAGATGTCTGTATTATATCAACACAACTTGCATTAAATAAATATGATTCGAGATTCAACTAAAGAACAAAAAAACCCATCAATATTTCGAAAATAACCAAGGTTAATTGTTACTGTGTGCATAAAAATGGTGATATTAAAAAAACTTATAATAATGCTTGATTGCACCCATCAGTATAATTTAACGTGCGATGATGTGCTTCAACGTTGACTATTAATATCAATAACTTACAACATAAAATATAAGATATGGTTTAGTAACAAAGGAAAACATGTTAAAACAGTTCCCTATAATTACCTTGACAATCCAAGCATCTAGTTTGGGTCTGTTGGGCCATTCCGGGCGCTATCTGTCGATACATTACTTTCAATCCGCACCCGTTGCAACTCGAGCACCTCTCGGTCACGCCGCTCTTGCTGCCCTTCCCTTGGCACGTGGCGCAAATAACGTTCTTGCTCAATTGCAACTTGGACGTCTTCCCGTTGTACAGGTCCTCCAGCGTGACTTTCAGCGGGTGCAGCGTGTCCTCGCCGCGCTGCCGCCTCCTCGGCCCGCCGCCGCCGCCGCCGAACCCGCCGAATCCGCCGAACAGACCGCCGCCGAACAGGTGGGAGAGGAAGTCCTCGCCGCCGAAGCCGTCGCTGGCGCCCTCCTGCATGCCTTTGAGGCCGACCCTGTCGTACAGGGAGCGCTTCTTGGGGTCGGACAGCACTTCGTAGGCATAGCTGATCTCCTTGAATTTGTCGCCGGCGGCAGGGTTCTTGTCCGGGTGGAATTCCTTCGCTAGCTTCCTATATTGCTGCGGGAAGACGAGAATACAAACACGACGTAAAAAATGTGACAAAGTAAAACTGTCTGTTAACCGTCCTTGATGAAGCGTTTGGCGTGCCGTACTTTCGGTTAAAGGACGGTTTTCGATGGAATTTAGAAGCGTTGAAATGTAGGAAAACTGTACTTACCTTTTTAATTTCGTTATCTGAGGCATTTCTGCTCACACCTAATATATCATAAAGTTTGTTGTCTGCCATCTTTCTAAACAAGGAATAAAAGATGGATTTTATGAAGCATGCGCAACACGTTCCGTCAAAATATCGGAAGTACCACAACATGTGACGTAAATGTCACTAGAAGATGACGGGCTAAAATAAATCTACGGGATGTTTTGAGAAAAAATGTACAATTCATTAACGATAAATTGCCATTATTAACGATTTATTTACAATTAGCTAAAATTGTTTTTATTTGCGACGTACCAAGAATCAAAATTTTATCGCTGCGATGCAACACACATTACAAGAGCGGGTATAGGGAGTTGCATAACTCGATTTCAGGTAAAATAAGAATGATTATTTCACATGAAATGCATATTTGAATCGTTTTTTGTCTCTCCACACTATCACCAGCCGTTTTCCGATCTATAAAAAACTTTATTCAACACAACAGAGTAAGTACACTACTTCCTAATCCTAGTTGATGCTATTTAAAACTTAAAGCGCCTCTATTACTGAGTGCAATTTTATTTGTTGTCCTCAACTTCTCGCTAATGCAAAGGCGTAGGTAGGTTTTTTCTATAGGGGATGCCATAAAATCAAGAAAAATCAACACAAAAAAAGCCGTAAGAGCCTTAGCAGCCTTTAAAGAATAAAAAATGTGATAATATTGAGTACCTACCTAATTTTCGAAAATTAGAATAAAAACAAAAAAAACCACCACCATAAGTGAACTTTTTGAAAGAGAATAAAATTACTTAATATTTGGGTCTATAACATCACCCGTACGTGCTTTCCTCTGAATAATTACCTCTATCAACTGTAACTACAACAATGTAACAAGTTGCATTTTAATCCACTTTCCTTAATTAACGATTTTCGTATGAATGAAAGCGGCGTTTCCATCTCCATCAATATATACGTTCTTGCATCGTTCCTTCTAAAATTAAGTATACACGTGCATCTTGAAATTTTCATTCATTAAAAAAAACTCTCTTGCACACATACAAAACCAACGAATATGTTGATAAGTTCAGTTGATAACAGAATTAAGTTTTAGTCTGTATACGTTGACCTTAATATGGCTTACGTAACTATTAGATATCTATTTTAAGTATGTTGTAAAACCATGTGTATGAGGTTCTTGTAGATGCGTTTAATCGATTATTTATCTTTTTATGCAAGACTGAAAATATAAGGCTCGATAAGAGCCTTTCAGTAGCGTTTATCGCGTTATATTATATTTCTAACTATTAGTAAAATTTAAGTAGGCACTTATTTATAAATTTAAAGTGTTGAACAAAATTTGTGGAAACGAATAGAAATAAGGCAATTTATTAGTTACTGCCTTCTGATAATATAAAGTACCTATGTATAATGTAATGGTTAAGAAGGTTAATAGGTTTTTTGGTTACGGAGGTATTAAATGGATGAATTTTGATGTTTTAAAATGTTTTATATAACATTTTTGGACTATTTCGAAAATTTTTTGTTTTATTTATTCTTTGATAAAATAAATAGCCTGTGAGGCATTCATTCATTCTTATAATTACATTACATGTTATTTGTTGATGACGTGTAGCTGCACTGTACTTTTTTGGCTTCTCCCCTTTTACAATCAATTTCTATTATCTTAAAGATCGCATGTAAAAATCGATTCTGTTCATCGTATTACAAGTTGGAAATCCCCTTTGGTCTCAAATTGAGATTACCTACGCTTATACGTATATAGGTACGTATTAATACATCTTTAATTAAATCTTTAAAAAGAAATATTCAAAATCTGTACTATTCAAATTTTCATTCGCCACTAAAATTCTTGAACATCGCCACACTTCAATTAATCGATCGAATTAACCGAAGAACGAGATGTCGTTCGCTTATCAGCAAATAAATAATTCCTCGAGTCTGCAGAATAATGCAGACATGTATACGAACTAAGATATGATGTAGTGACGCAGGACAGCCGATGCCGATGGAACTTCGCCGTGGAGCTTCGGGTGGGAGACACCAGCCACCGCCAGGCCAGCCATCATCGTTTAATCGAGACCTGGATGGTCTGGAAGCAACGCGAATTCGACATCGCCATCGCGAGTGAGTTCTTGATCCGATTATCTGGATAGTTCGGCCACGTTGTCGAGGACGCAGGCGACCGAGGGCTTTCGGTAAGTGGAATATATAGAATTTATTTCGTAGAATAACCCTATACATTAAGCTTTAAAGACGGCCGTGAGTTATAAGGAGTATCTTCTGGTTGAATTCGTAGCGGAGGCAGCGATATTATAGTCGTGCATTCGAGATAACTCGCGATAAAGTTCAACGGCGTAGTCGATATATTTTTACGGAGGGAAAACCACTGTTATTGATTCAATTCGGAGTTATAATGCACACCTATTATTTATTGTAGGAATATTGTTTAGTTAATGCACTAATCTTGTCTGATAGCTTATTCATTTATTCTTCGTCAATTAAGTTTTTTGGATGAATTTTCCCGTTTCTCATATGTTTTACAGTGTTGGAGGACTGAAGGGTTAAAAAGGCATCCCTTAAATAACTAATTGAGTTACTTTTATTTGAGTGTGCGTTCAAGAAATCTACAGTATGTCTGGATAATTGATTAACATGGATACAAATAAAAATATATAATTTAATAATGTTGTTGTTATGCAATGTGAATGTAGGTTAGGTTGAGTGTTGGAAACATTTAATTAGCCTTTTTTATTATAAAAAGGACCAATTTCGTCAATGTTAAAGAAGTAATTTGTGAGATCCCGAAATGGTTTCTCCTTGAACTAAAATGATACCAAATTGTTTTCTGATAAGAACGTATTTTAACAGGCGCGTTATCTATAAAGAGTGTTTGTAATCAATATTTATTCTGAATAAGAACCACATTTCTGAATACAAGAAAGGAAACTTAAAAATTCGATAAAACAGGTGTGCCCCATTTTTTAAATAAAAATTCCGAGTTACAAGGACTAAATGTTAACCAATAAGAATTAAATATTACTTCTTTTTGCACCAGCTCTATTGGTAATTATATTTTTATGATACTCTTCGATACAGAGTTGCCCTGTATAAAAAGCAGATTTTTAGTACTTTATTTGATCAATATAGACCTTACTTTTGTTGGGTATGCTGACTTTTAATGTAATTAAATATAAATTCAAATGATATATTATAATTTTCAGATTTTTCGTTCAAAATTTACAAGCAAATAATTATTATGAATAATATAAAATATCCATAAAAATGATTTTACTGCTACATACTTACCTACCTAATGTTGTAAAACTGCGATAAAATGAAAATCACGAAAGATGCAATTTTGCAAATATAACTAAGGCATTAAATATATTATGTATTATGGAGGTAAAAATTTATTATTCGCTGACTACCTATCAATCTTTATGACTGTTAGGCGGGCGTAGGTATCAAATATCCTCGTGTAAACCGAACCTAAGTTCTGAAATGAAACGCTTCCTTCTTTAATCTTTCAACATTGTATATCCCCATTCCGGAAAACTAGGACAATTCAATATCGTCACAAATTCAAACAGTGTACATACAATGCGCTACGATAAACTCTTGTATAGTATAATATTTACCAAAGCACGCACAACTTATCAATATGTAGTTTTACTGTTACAAAATTGACTTTAGATTGTGCTTGTGCAGTCTTCGAGTGTGTATTTTTCAGCTATCGCAAATATAGCATAAAAGCTATATGGGTGCGCTTCGAATAGATATTTAAGTTGGCATTTATCCCAATGAAGACTATTTTAGAACGATCTGTACTTTAATATCTGATTTTATGTTTTTATACAGCCCTTATAAAGATACCACTATGTTTAATTAAACTAAGTTAACACTAGGTATTGCTAAACTGCAAGCTATCGTTTTAAGTGTTATGCAAACTGTAATGTGCATCATCAAATAATGTATCTTGTGATGTTTATTAAGTAGGTACTGCAAGAATGCTCTCATTTTCTATTTTCTTATTCTATTTGCATTTCAAAATATGTATTATTATTCTACGTTGCTGAGTCTAATGCTATTTCTGTAGATCTAGTGATATTTCAAGTAACCTAGTGATTTAGTGAATACTATAGACCTTTGATGAACACTAAAGTTTTATTAAAGCCCTTTTGAAATGATTTGAGTCCCTTATAAACACTTTTAAACTTTTAAAAACTCTTCTAAATCACAATGAAAAAAATTTAATCTCTGAAAGTTCTCTAGAAACTTTTGAAAATTTCGGCATGACAACATCGTTCCTATTGGCAGTTAATTTTACACGGGCGATACAATTTTCGTGGAGGGATTGCTTCTTGAGCTGTGAAATCGGATTTAAACGGTTTTATTGTCCATTGCGTATTTGCTTTGTCGGTTGCACATGTAGACAGAAAATATTTATTTTCGTTGGGATAAATAGGCCAGCGGTCAATAAAGCTTAAGAAGCAACGATACGAGACCACATATAACAGAGCCCCAGATAGCTGACGAGTGCGAAACTCTTTAATAAATTTGATGACACACTCCTTCGACGATTGCTCGTCTTTTTTTTTAATTGAGCACAAAAGGTTATTGTTATTTGATATATTTATTATATTGAAGTCAATTCGTTCCTTTTTTAGGCCATCAATCATGAACGTTTCATGTTTAGACTGTGCTCTGCAGAGGAGAAATTTTCATTTTGAACTAGTAATACATTATAATTGGGTTAATTTTATTGCATTCGAGATTTGTTATTAGACTAAAGATAGAGAAACAGGTAATTCAGGTAAATAATAAAAGCGTTGCTTTTCTTAAAACAATAGGAAATCAGTGGATAAAAGACAGATTAAAGACATAGATAAAACAATTATTCCAATAGTTTGAACTTTGAACGGAAGAAACTTTCATCATGTCCCCTGTAATCTTCGATATTTTATCGCGTCTTTTGGAAAATTTAACAGCATACACCTGCACCTTAACAAAACCGACTAAATTTATGGCTTATATTTTTTACGAGCCGATTTATCTTTAGCTTTTGTTATTGGCTGCTGGTTATAGCCGATATTACCTACGTAACTAACGATGTACATACTCGTACCTTACCGTTCGAAAATTACGCAATTTTCTCCCAAGGAGACCAATTTCAAAAAGCACAAGTCGTTGAATGTATTAAATTGTCCGCGCAGAAATAGCACGTAAGTATCCACCTACTTACTTTCCTGAGTACATAAAGTAAAAATTGCTTGGAAATCAAATGTACTGCTTAGAAACACTTCCAGGAGTTCTTGTTTTGCAAAATCAATAACATCAATATCTCAAATCCACAATTTCCCATGTAAAATCCACTTGGTTGATAAATAGTAATGTAATGTTGCACTAATTTCAAAATTTTCTTTTGGCACTCTCTAATAATGCACCTGTAGTATTGAACTAACTATCACTATAACTTCTCAGAAACATGCTAAATCATTTATAATGAAACAGTATGAATGTGACAAATTAGTAAACGAATTTACAATGCCGTTCGCAAATGTTACTGCAAACAGGTGTGTTGGGAAAGTTAAGTTTTATAATTTTTTGGGATATGCACGTCCATACTTCATAAACTTATGTATTTACTTTCCTTTTCCAAATGCAACATTATTAAATGAACATTTTTTGCACCATGACACTGCAAAATTGAATACTTAATATGTACTTATCACTACTCCAATAGACATTATGTACTTATTTCCGCTACTAGTACTCTTAAACAACACGTTATTGATAATACATAATTAATCCATTAGGTAAGACTTTAAATAATATTTTAATGTATTACAATACCTATAGAAATTACACATCAAGGACCAAACGTTCACATTGGTAAGTTTGTCAAAACAATAACAAACCGAACCAAATAGGTACTGTGTTAATAGAAACATGTGACGACGACGGTAATCGATAGTTAATTGTTTTTTTCTTTGTTTCACCCGTGAGTTTGCCGCGGTAATTCGTCTTTTGTCTTCGAATCGCTTTTAATGTGTCGCGCGAGGCACGTGTTGCGAAATTTATGGAGTCGTTTGGTCAGCAAGTGCTTTCGATTGATGTATGTATGCACCTATATATATTCACGGCCTATCGAGATGCCATCCTTGCATAATTGGCCGCGAAGAGTACGGCGGATATGGATACGCGAAGGCCGCCGCTGGATTTATTTTTATTGTTTTAGTACCTTTGCGGCGCGAGCGTGGCCTACGTACCCAGATATTCGCTTTCGGCCGATTGCGATACGCAAAGCGGCTAAAGGTTTTGCAATAATTTATACGGTTTTACATGAAAACGGTGTGTTGTTTTCGTTTTGGACGCGTTTCGCGAAGTACGTCAATGATAAGTAAATAAATTATATTAACACGCGAAAAGCGGACTGAATTTAAGCGGGAGCAAACAGTAAAGGCCATCAGAATTTATTTCCACAGAAACTGTCATTATTTTGAATCGACTTCGTTTCTGATAACGTTAATTTGATTATATTATGTAAAACACATTTATCTTTTGTAATTAAGAGATAAATACTTTTCCATAACTCTTCTGCGCTTTTGGAAAACATCACGAACAACAACAACAGACTTTAAAATCCTATCGACTTAAATTAGATATCTGATACGTTATTCCATTATAAAACACATTTCGTTACTGCTCTGCGAAAAAGCACCTATTTCAACCAGGATGTAGCAGCGTATCCAAGCATATTTTTACGTTTAACACACCCCTATTCTTATTCTAATTCAACTGCTCACGAGCAGTGACCATTCCGAAATCGATATTCATCGCTTACACAAAAAGGACAAATATCCCGGCGACCATTACAGAAAACCTTCAGGTTGGTAAAGTTGCGGCGGGAGCCAAACAAAGGAACAACGGCTCTAATCGGAGTTGATCTGGGACTGACACACAGTATAAATATTGAAGTTGAAGAGGAGGAAAGGCCCCGCTCGGCTGGAATTCTGTTGCCGGTCTACAAGAACGCTTCCCCGTAGAATACGCCACGTTAGCAGGATGGCAGGTGGTCAGGGGTGGCACGGCAAGACATCAGCGCACGGAAATATCGCGATATTAATCATGCGAACGTGGAGGAATGAAAATTCGCTTTAAGACGCACGTGAAGACGTTGAGATGGAGTAGAATTGAGATTAAAAGGATTATTGTTATCGGATGGAGGCCGGATCATCCGATACCTTTTGGGAAATATAATCTAAAAGTAATACCAAATACCTCAAGAAATTAAGTGGATGGAAGAAAAGAGGATAATGGACCCTAGTGAGCATTCTAAGAGATAAAATTTTCATTCTATTTGCATAATAATTATGCTGTAAATTAGAGTTTTGTATGTACAATCTAATGAAGTTATTACAACTTTATGCTAAGGTGAGACTAAGCTGTATTAAATCGGTGCTGATTAAATTCAAATCGAGGCTATACCTATTTGAATGGCTACAAATTGTTATCAAACTTTAGGAGCACCTACATATGAATTCCATTCTACAGAATTTAATTCAAACTTTTACAGTTGTTTAGTGCTATTGCATTTGAAGTTGAAATGGCTTAGTTCTGTCGGCGATCCGTTCAATAAATATCCCCCTATAGTGAAAACGTAATCGGCGACACCGCTGGGGGTGGTTGGTATGGCCGTTTCTATGCCCAGAACCAGCAACACCGAACTGCTGAGCGCTGAAGACCTGTTCGGATCAATACGAGAGTCTGCCACCCTCGATGTGGAGGACGCCGACCACGCCGACTGGGGTCGCATGTTCCACGTTCGCGTGCTTGGCCCCGTGCTTCTCTTCTGCCTTACCTTCCTGCGTCTTTCGCCCCAGACTCGGTCGTCTATGAAAAAATTCAACCTACGCGGGGAGTTAGACGCCCACGTCGCCGGTGGCGGGTTCGGCAGCGCCCTCTTTTTCGATTTTCGTCGAAGGAAATTAGAGTCCTTCGTCCTTCGTCGGCGCGGTTCTTTTAAAGGGAGGACGAGACGGTTGCTCCTCTGTTTGAATCTAATCGCAGACGGGAAATTAACATATCAAGTTGAGGAATTGATGAGGATGGTAATCAAATTGATTGTATATTTTTATGCCTTTGACCGGACTATAAATGTATGTTTCATTTAAAATATTTCAATGTACTTACTCGTAGATTACTAAATAATGACCATATCGTTTCAGTGAAACTCAATATTGGGCGGATTTTAAAATTCTCTAACAAAATGTAGCAATGCATTCAACGATGAAAGTATACGAAAATGGAGCAGTGCAATTAGTAAAATTGCTCTGAGGCACGGTGATAAAAAATTTAGGGAATTTTTAAATACCTGTCCGTCCTAATTGATTCGCGCTATTCTGAATAGCACTTGAAAAATCACTTTTAAAATGTATTTTAAAAGTCTACTATATTCATATTTACTTTTTTTAGAAAATTTGAAAGGGAATTCAACTAGACAATACAGTTTGAAATATAAAATGAAGAAAATCAATACCAATACAGTATTGTTAATTATTGTATAGTTAGGGTGTTATAATCAAAGACTAGGGTAAATTAATTTATTCTTTAAATTTCTTTCATTATCACAGAGAATGGATAGTGTACCTATCTACATCTTTGTATTTCTGATATTGAATCTTTTAATAATTAAGCAAAAACAAGTACACCAATGAAGGTTACACCAATTGTAGGAGTTAAATTTCCAGCAAAGTTTATAACAAAACTGAAACTTCGAGCATTAGAATATCCAACTATGTTCTTTGATAGTGTTTTCAAAGAATTCCTATAAGCAACATTCACGTATAAAAATGGTTTTCCCTGTTATCATTTGGTATATTTTTACCACACAAGGAACCGTTATCTAATCAATATGTACAGTCGGTAATTAGTTTGAGTAAATTAACCTCACCCTATATCCTGTTTCGCTTTTTCAATTCCTCCTAGTGCACGACTAATTTCCCATATCAGCAAGCACAATTCAGTTATAATAAGAAATTTTCTTATTCCAATAAGGATTGACATAATTGCTAGTATTAAGAGAATCTGCATGAAAAAAGATTTGTACGTAAAAATATTTTTAAGGTAATAAATTTTTGCACTATGTATGTATGTATATCCGACAAATTTATTGATTGCATAATAATCTCTAATAAAAATTTTATAAATAACAATAAAATTGAAACAGTGCTCTCAATTTTTTTACCATGGTAATCTGAATCAATCTGACTGTTATTTTTAATAGCAATATCAAATACATTATTTAATATCGCACAAAAAATCATGCAGATTAATTTCTGATAAAGTCGTACCACATGACATTATCAGTGATTGTTAAAAATAAAGAATTTTCGTCAAATTCATAATACGTTTTAAGAACGCTGATGTCACTTTATTGTGGATTAAAATTTGTAACTCGAAAAAATCAACATTGCTAAAGACGCCTGTAGCAATAATACTCTAGAACTAATTTCCTTATCTTATCACTAGTTCAATATACAAGAAACGTACTGATGGTGCCGTAGATTATTAATAACGTGTGGTTGTATCAAAGACATCGAAAATTATACTAATATAATGTATGCTGACTTATGAAGATCTTTGGGGAAATTTAGAATCTATAGCACTCAAGAATAATTGCTTGAATGCTATGAAATAACGAGAGATAAAAACATAATATTCGTATATTTATACTTACGGGGGAAAAGATGCTAATTTAGTACAATTTTTATAATTAATAAACTGTATTAGTGTTTTGAAATAGTGATAAAACATGACCAAAATCTGATGCAACATTCAATTTATCTACTCTTTGTATTCAACATTTTTCGGCCTCTATCAGTGCGCTACTGGTTGAAAGATAAACGCAAACGTAGCATTCGGCCCGTTGGTGATGGACCCGACGATCGCGTTGTCCTTCTGTGGGGGCCTCCTTCACAGCTGCGGGCTTGTGATCGCGCATATTTTACATCAATGCCCCGACTATGCATGATTCAGATATAGCCCAAGCATGCATTCCTCGGAGACTAAACGGTTATTGCCAACAACATCCGCCTTTTGCTCGCAGTCTCGTGTTCTTAAGCGCTCATTGAATAAGAACATTGAAATGCAAAATACTGCTTATACATCTTTTAGGACGTACGGTCAGTTGCATTGTATTACTGATGCTGAGTTGCACTTTTGTTTACACTCTTCGATTTCTATTACACCCGTATTTTATAGCATGTTCAGTTTTTATTTTTTAGTTTTATTTTTCTCTCATAATTCATCTTTTCTCTAATTGATATTCTAGCTCGCTTGTCCTATAAATGATAAATGAACGAGTTTAAATGCGAATAATTGAATTGACGTGTACTTTAATATAAATTATTAAACAAATGGCAAATTCAAGCGACCTATTTATTGTATTGATTTTTCTCGAACTGAACACAACAGGAAATTGGTGATTTTTCCTACTTTTACTGATTTCCTTTCCATTTCCATTCAAATTCTACTCGAATTTTGTGTTGCAAACCGTTATCAGTTAGAAGCTTGTTCGTCTTTCAGTATCAATTCGAAAAAGTTTTCCGGTTTTCTGGCACGCTATTACTCAATTGATGGCAGTTAAATAATCGCTATTGATACACATTTCGTTCTCTCATATTTCTTCCATACATGTCTCTTAATGAAACTATTGATTTTTTAAGGGTGTTTTTCCTGTTACGAAGACCTACGAGTTGGATAACCCTGACCTACAGTCGTAGATAATTGGTTTCGAAGGCAATTAAATTAATCCGGATTGGCCGTTTATTCTATAATAATAGTTCATTATTGGCTTAAAAATAAGAAATAGTATCGAAAAACTCCAAATAATGAACTTTGTTTTTGTGAAAGAAATTCCAAAAATTCTGTTGGAAAAAAGAAATATTGGATACCTAGGATTATATACTCTGCGTAATTTTAATTTATCTAACAATAGAAAAACAAGAAAACCTGCAAACAACAAGTATAAGAAAATCCAATTATGATGTCACGTAAGAATGCCATCGGAGCTTTTCCGTGAAAACCTGCTTATTCAAAATAAAATTATGCTGTAGTGAGTTTAAAGGGATGAAATTGAGCACCATTACGAGTTTAAAATAGTTCAAAACGATCCGCCCGCTTCTCCTCGGTCACAATAGGATCGTTGTCTGTCCTCGTCCTACGCCATCAACAAGTTGCCAATAATTTAGAGTGTTTCATGGTCGAGGAAAATTGGAAACGTACACACTTTGGCTGATTAGCCAGATATATGACGGAATTTGGTGCTCAGTGAAGGAACGGAAAATTTTCTCCTGTTCGACATTCTAATTTCATGAATGAGAAATATTAAAGAAGCGAAAAATATAGTCCATTCATTCTTGCTGTTATTAATTAGTGGACAAAGAGTCTCGGGAAGTAGTTAAAATTATTAAAAGTAGATTGGTAAAAATTTTTGGACGCTACAATTTACCTAGATTTTGATTTTATTCATACGTTCTTTGATAACCATATAAAAATGCTAATATATCTTCTTTTCTCGAAATTAACATAATGTCAAGGAGGAGCTAGTAATTGTCGCTACGACATCGCACAACCTCTTTTCTGTCTAACGAAGGCCATCCTGAAGAACTGAATTGGTTAAACTGTCGATGTAAGGAATTCCAAGATCTTCCAGTTTGAGAAACAACTGTTTTCTTAAGAAAAATTGCTGTCTTGTACCGAGCGGGTCTAGAAGGTTTTTTTATAATGACAAAACCAGCCACGAATTTATTATTACTAAAGCGATCTAACAAACTTATCGATTCGGAAGAAGTTGACCAATTATACTAATCAGTGCCAAAAATATCAACACACACCTCTCTATTATCGAACACCAGATTACTTAAATCCGTAATTTACGCTTTCCATTTCAGCTGGTTCGATTAATCACGTTAACAAATTGTGATCCAGTTTCCTTGTAGTTTAGTTTGACTTGGCGAAATTAAATTTAAATTTATAAATTTAAACGCTTATAAAATACGTTCGGTCATCAGCTGGGTATCCGACGATTAATTTGCGAAGAGCGACAACTGCTTCCATTAGCTAGGCATTTCTTCGCGCGTTTACTTTGTTCTTAAACAAATCAATCAGTGTAGTTGACACTTCAGTCACAGCTTTGTATTGGGTAATTACTTAAATGGTTGAGACTTTTTTGAGAGGTTGGTAATACCGTTTAATTAGAAGATTTTGACAATTTTCCCCTAAGAGTTTATCCAATTGACCTACTTCGGATTAATGCCGGATAAAATATTAACAAAATTGTCTGAGGTTGATCCTGTGTTTTGATTTCTGCATCAATAAATTTCAGTTGTACACTTTAAAAATACCGATATTGAAGCAATTTTAGAAAATTTCCTGTATTGACCTGGTTTATCAAAATCCTAGCGTTCTTTCGTTCGATAAAAATAAGCCACTGGTTGCGGATGACCTTATATTCTATTTAGAAAGATCACACTAAACACTAAACAGTTGTTTGGCGGGATGCCCGAAAAACGAGCCGCTATGCGGCTGGCCCGTGCGAAATATTAACTAAAACGCCAGAAAATATAACAAAATCGTGTTACGAAAATTTCGTTTCTCTTTCCACGAACGGGTGCTTTGTTTCGAAAACAGTTTTTTCGATATAATGTTTCTTTTAAACGTCAGGTGTAGGTTAATTCCCTCTATTTTACCTTTCTAAAATTATTAGACTCGTTATATATTTTCAGACTAAAAAATATACTTGAAACACGTACGAAGAAACAAGATTTATTTGCGGTGTAAAGCGTAAACCAGAAAATTTACCTCGAATATTTCAAAGATGGTTTATGAACAATTTAGGAGCCGTAAAAGGGTATTTTTAGCCTTACGAAAATACTTATGTTTCAAAAAACACTAATTCCAAAATTATGCTCTATTCGCATAAATCAAACAAAAAATCCCCAGGCATTTCAGAATTAAGACAACTCATTCATCATATTGTATAGTAGTATTGTAATTAAATAGTTAACATACTTTTGTATATGAAATTTGATTTGCATGCATTATCTAACGAATGACTGAATAATATCTAGAATGACAGAACAAGGTGCAGTGTATAATTGAATGCACGTTAAGGATATGAAATTTTGACGGGATCCAACTTTAGAAAAAATATGGTGGAAATTCCTCTATTCAGTCTCATTTGCTCAAAAAAACAACAATAAGCATCGATCGATTGCGAGACAATTACAGGCGTATTCGAATAAACAACCAAGCGTGTCTTATCATTTTCAGACTCTATTCACTCCATGTTCAAATTCAATTTCAACGTCTCTTTGACTAAATAGGCGCAAAGTTAACACCAGTATCTATTTTTGCTCTGTTATTTCATTATTCGCATGTCACCGCCAAGCCAACGGTACCAAATTGCGTCGAATCTTCATCGAAGCATTAAAGTCCCGACGAAATCGAAAGTAAGGTTGAAAGAGAATCTTCATTGATGCACGGTTAACTGTAAAATTCGTAAAACCGGCGTGTGTTCGGTAACGCGTTTTACTACTACAACGCCCGTACGAAGCAATAGCGATCCACCCCGGGGCACTGTGTCAGAGCCAGCACGCCGTGAAGAGCGAAGACCGGTCGTTTCTTGCCGTTGTTTCGCTGTATATCGGTTACGAGACGCAGATGGCCGCAGCAGAGCAGACTGTGGGCTGCGCTCCTTCCTCCTTCTGCCTCTGTTTATAGATCGGCTGAGATTCTTCGGAATCGGCCGTTCGATTCGTGGAATAATCGATTCCCATTGGAATTTTTACGAAAAGGTCGAGGAGTTGCCTTTGTTTCTGGGTTAATGAGGGGACATGTTACATTTTCGGGGAGTACGCGAAGGTAGGTATTGAGTTTTCGGTGCTCTTGTTGTTTGTTATTAATCAGTCCGTTCGTTAGTTTGGGATATAAATATAATTTCGTTTGCCATTAATGTCGCGAACAAAACAAAAATAATAATGGAAATGCCTAGGTTAGCGTTCGTTATTATAAACGAAAATGCGGAATTAGTGCAGAAGTAAATCCCTGTAATGGAGGCTGAAAAGAGCAACGTTTATATACATCATTCAAACGTATTTCACCAGATTTAATGGCATAAGGAGACTATTAAGAGATACGAGACTCGAATTAAAAGAATACATAAGAATATATGAAGCACCATTAATAAATTAGCATTACAGGAGGCTGAATAGCGTGGTCAAATTGAGTAGATAGAAATCTCCCCTATATTTTCCGTGTTCCATATTTAAATGTAAAATAAAGACTTTGAACTTTTTATCGTACAAACCATAACCAAAATTTATCTAATATTTTCACAAACAAATTTTTGCATCAAAAATATTATTAACTCTGATTAAATTTAAGTACGAATAGATTAAGTATTTTTTAGGCACAAAATTTATTTATACTCTTAGTTATCTTAGAAATATTTAGAATGAACGTATTTTTGTAATTAATCATCCTTAATATCCGAAATAAAACGTTAGTAGGTAGTCAATTAAATATGGCATTTTCCATTTTCATTTCATCAAGTTTCAAATTTATCAATTTCAATTTAATTTTTACACTATTACTTTGCAGGATGGATAAAATGAATAGGAAAAAAATGCAAACATTCCGATATGTACGAATGGGTATTCCTCGGTTTATTCTGGGTTTTCCTGCATATCAAATAACTTTTGATCCTTTTCTCATTTCTTGGACGTTTTATTTATTAATAAAATTTATCTCGTCGCTTCAATGTTGTTACACAATTGTTCAACACATTAGATTAATTTATAGAAATATTTAGAACATTTGGAAAAATAAAGAAACTGAAAGTAATACATGATGATGTACCTACATTGTACATATGTTCATATGTATGTGTGTGTGCAGTGTGAATAGCAATAAGCTTAAAGCGTTAATAAAAAATTGAAGCGAAAATTGCATATTTTTAATAAGTAGGTACATCTTGAACTTCTGCTAATTATTATAAAACTATTTTTTATTATAAAACGTTGGCATTACTAATTACTCGCTTATCTAATTTTTTGAAAATGTTTGGGACGTCTCAATCAAAAAAATAACTTTCGTTACAAATTTAGAGAGTTTATGCCTCTTGTTTAGGGCAATAATTTCGGTAAATAAATTAAGTATTATTTGTTTAGTACTCGTGTATATGCCAATTAGATTTTATAATGCGTTTTTGCTATTTTTGTCCAGTCCTTAATAATTATCATGTTACAATTAATATTTAATTGCCTGTAATTATGTAAGTACAAAACGTACTAGTAAGAAAATTAACAGTCTATTATATTTTACAGATAAATCCGTCCTTATATTTGAACTTGAAATTTAATTATTCAACGTGTAACCGAGATGTTTATTTTTACAAACAGTTTAAAACGCGCGGTTCGTAATCTCCAATTACACCAAAAAATTTTCCGACAAGAAAATGTCGTCTGGCCAGCCCCGAAAGGTCTTCGTGAGCGAGCAAGAGAGAGCTATTGATCAAATCCAGAAACGAATCCATACAAAAGCAAGCAAGCGGCCCTCGTGCCATCAAGTTACCCTCGCGTCTTTCTCCTCGTCCATCGATTCTAAGCCTGAAGCCTATATAGAACGGCTCGTCGCCGGTCCCCGTCGTCCTCCGCGTCGTTAGCAACGTAGTTTGGCCATGGCTGCTGACGCAGCCGAAGATGGCCCAACTAAGCCTCAAGCCAACAACAGACACCGAATCCGATTTCTGCAGTCTGCAGTATACTCGAGGCCTTTGGGCCAGCTGAACGTGTGCGTACATCGGCGAGTTTTCTAGTTTGTTTCGTTTCTGTTCCTCGAGTCCTCGACGGTCTGCGCCAAGACAGACGCGCATCGCGCCATCGCATTGCTTGGGTTCGGATATTATTTGGACGTCCCTGCCGAGGAGCGTTGCGACATCGACGACGGCGACACATAACCAGCACACCACGAGGTATTATTATTATTATCAGTTGAGCGCTAATGCCTCGATCACATTCTCGATTCGCTATCGTTCGTAGATTGCTAGCTAAATAAAATTCATATTGAATATAAATTATTTTTTATCCAACGTAAATGTATAAAAAAATATATCATTCATTTGTCGGACACCGGAGCACTAGGATATGTATATTTTTTGAGCAGCGGCGGAGGTGGAAGTAGGATAAAAATTAATCGCACACGAGTGATATTTATGTGAGAGTTAAAAATAAAATTACCGGCGTTGAAGTTTCGGGTGATATACGGGGGAATTGCGTTGGTTAATTTTCAGAAAAACGGTGAGAAAATTGTACCAATATCTGCTAAATTAAATAAAATAAATACCTATCATTATATAAAAATGTGACGTACTACTACAGTACACTTCTCTATAAATTTTCCTGAAATTAATTTTATACCCAATGCAATACACAATTGATTACCTTTGTTCATAACATTTTTTGCATATCGATTTTAACAGTGTACCTACTGTTCTGTACCTACCTGTTAATTAGATAGCGGTGATATTTTATAAATATTCCTGATATTTCAAAATTAAAGGGATCTATTTCGACTTTATCGTGGCTTTCTTCTTATTAATTTTTAAACACCTTCTGCCAACAATGTACATACTTAATTTAGTAATTTAGTAGGTATCCTTTCATTAAATTCGAAATCAATTTGTACACGTTATTGTAATAAATTACTTGATTTATGCACTAAACGTGGAATTACGTCAACGCAAAGATAACTATATCTCTGGAAAAGCATTGTCAATTGAATTGTCATGTTGATAGACATATGTAACTTTAACCAGAGTAAAGAAATTAATTTTGGCAGGAAAATACGCTTTACATTACATGTTTACTTTCGAGTTCTCCAAAATTTGCAATTTTCCAAATCTTATGATCAATTACACCACTCTAAAAATGTGACTTCATTCATTTCTCCAAGAGTTTTTGAAGGTATTTCATTTTTAATTTAAAGGATGTCCTATAGATAATTCATTTGCATGCCCTTTGTTAAGTCATTCTGAATCCTCCAGTTTTTCCTCCTTTGTCATCATAGCACTTGAGGTGTATTAATCATTTAAAATTATAAAAGTGTGATGATAATGTTCACCTGTTGATTAAGTGATAGCGTTCTTTGTATAAGGCATATGATCTTGGCGATTAAGATATCTTTTATCAACCTCTTTTATCAATTAAAGTATTCCTCGTGGATTCTATTTTAAGTTAAAAAATAGCTAACCCTCATAAAAATAAAATAGGTTGAGGTTTTTCTTACAGTGTGACGGCTCCTTAACACTCTTGGGAATCTCGCACACACGCCTACGGCTAAGTACGATTTTATTCAATGTTTTTGTACATTAGAGGTCGGACAGAGGTTACATAGCTCTGTTATGGTGATGACGACGATGATGATGGTCGATTTTTAAAAACAACCATTAGATCAAAAGTCGAGTCATGCGTTTTGTTTAATTTGTTATTACCATGTTAAATATAGAGACGATAGATAGCTGCCTAGATACTCTTCAATGACGGACGGTGTTTTTTTAATTATGCACAATTTATTAGCGGGTACTGAAGTAAGTAGCATGCACTTATTCTTATCACAAGAATGCGTTTGTTTTAACATGTATGGGTACATGTATGATAGTCTGTGGGCACCTTAATAGCAATAGTATTTTGTAGTTTTACACCTAAATTTATAACACACTGAACATAATTAAAAAATCAGTTGTCAATGCATCCAATTGCATTCTTCTATTACCCATTACTTTTACATAACTTAACCTTAGGAATAAAAGCACCTTCAACTCTACCATCACAAGCCTCCATAAAGCCTATAAATATTCTTTTAGTTCCTCTACGTACTCTTTAAAAATTCAAGTTCCTTTAACAACAGAGGCGACCGTTTAACAACAATCGCATCTGTAATTCCAATTTTGACCTTATTCTGATTGACACATAAAGCGTAAGCATAAGCGACGACTAAGAAAGAAGTGTTTTCGAAATGAGTCGAGCGAGCGCTATCGGTCTTTCTATTTGAAGCGATAACGCTAATGGTCATTATATGAAAATGAAGAACCGCGATGGATGGAATAACAAACGAATACAAATAATTTAAATGCGTATTCTAGCCGGAGATTTGGAAACTAGGTGGTGATTAAAGATCGGTAATGGCTGATGGATTGGACTCTTGTTGCGTGCATAAAATATCGGTGTGTGTCCCCTTCTCAGGAAAACTAATATTTTTTATAACTACAGAACCGCGGAATTTTCTTCGTTGCAGTTTAATCGGCACCTACCTACATTACTAGTTTTGCGGTTATGTTGCATTGGCGAGATATTTCGTGTAATAAAAATCATATAAAACATGAAGTAATAAAGTAATAAAAAACTTGAAATTCTTTCAAAAATTCCTTGAACGAACTTGAAAGTTTAAATTCCATGAAATGAAAGAACCCGTTAAAAAATTTGAAAATTCTTTCAAGCAACTTAGTAATATTTATTAAATATAGTAAAAGTTTCCAGTTGGATATTGGAATACCTATCATAATGAAGAGTTTGGTACATTGTGTAAACCAACTTTGCATCGCTGCATGATTAATGAATCCTCTGATAATAAGAAAACAGCTTACAAAGCTTCAATACCGCAATATCCGTTCCAGAATTCGCAAATTCGAAATCAGTTTTCCCCGCTAACACTTGTTAGAATTCAAAAAATTACGTTCAAGTATTTTAAGACAAAATAACATTAAAATAACTATTTTATTCGTTGGAACGCCAGCTTCAGGACTATCATCCTTATTTTTAATGTTGTGTCGTTAAAAATAGGCACTTTGAGTTGTTTTCGTCGACTTTCTACATAACCCATTGTTAGTCGAGTTCTCAAAGTATGTATATTCATGAAACATTTCATTATTCTTGAGGATATTGTCAAGGTTTTTGTGGCACACATGAAAGGAAATTGATAATTTTTAGATGTTTGTATGTAAGATTTTTACTAAATATATATCATTCAAACGAACGGCTATGTTATTTTCCTAATGATATTCAAATTAGCAAAACAGGAGTACCTAATAGCGTGAAACCTAATTCGTGAAAATTAACTTTTCGATTGTAGACTAACATTACACCATCAGGATGTAGCTCACAAAATTATCAAATATTTAATGAGCTTTGTATAATTAATTAACATTTAGGTCGTAGGACCTATCCGTATTTTACCAATAGATTTGGAATTTTACAGAAAACGCGGACGATTTTAAACGCATTATTTTTCTTTTTCCTCTTAGATTTTCCACATATCAGCCAAGGTCAAAGGAAACATGTATGATTAATATCGTTAAAAGACAGCTATAGTTTAAACTTACATATTTCTTGGGCTCTATCCAAAATCTATGAAAAGAACCAGCATGCCAATAATTACGATGTCGCAAATACATCAGGTGTGCTGCTATATAAATACACACCAGCTGAAAAATTGCAGACAATCGATTAAACTCGTTAAGGGAAAAGCCTGAAATCATTTTTCCGAGTCGTTGAGTCGATAGTTTCATTACGAGCAAAATTCTTTGCACGTGTAACCGTCTTATTCGGTATATTCTTTCATTATTGAAAACGCTGGAAGGAATAAAAGTGTTACAGGCCATTTCAGCACAATAAGCAAAAGCGCTGCCAAATATTCATTAATTTTTGTACATATGTTTGCTTCAGCTGAGCTGATTCATTTGTAACAAAGAGATCTATTTAAACAATTTTTCCAACACCTATCGGGTTTTAAATGCAGGTTAGCTTGTGAGAGGATACAAGGATAAATAGAAACATAAAAGAATGGAAGATTATAACTTATAGTCGAGCGAACACACCCACATAAACACTGCACCAATCCGTATAAATATTAATTACAATAATTTAGTAGTGAATCGAGAGTTCCATCGTATCATTGGGAACATGCCTTCTTTTACAAAAGATTAAAACGCATTAACGTCGCTCATTAGCGTCTCCTATTACGTGTCGTATCGACCAATAATTTTTTCAATCTTCGCTCGAGTTCACTCGTATGTAACGTCGAGTCATACGGACGCTACGTGCAACAACGCCCTAAAATACGCTCTCCTATCCTATTTCCGCTCCTCTTAAAAGACCGAGCGACATCATCGACACATCCCGAGCCGGCACACACACACACGCATACACGTCATCCCGTGACTCATCGGTCTCGAATCTCCGGTAATCTGGCCCGCCTCGGGCTCCTGCTTTTGTTGGCCGGGGCCTCTGGAGGTTTTCTTCTCTTGAGACGGTGTGTATTTCATGCCGAACTCGGGTGCGTGGCGTATGGGAATTTCTTCCGCTGCGGCGGTCGCGTGACGCTTTTGATTTGCTCGGCTGGTTTTATTAGGAAAAATGGCAATGCCTCATAAGGTGCTGGAGGGCCGGCGAAAATGCGAGTTTAATTTAATTGGGGAACGAGAAAAATTGACCGCAGGTCAAATGTGAATGCTGTTTGTATCTTGTAAATTGATGTACAGAGTGTTGCAAGGCTTTGCCTTATTTAAGATCATTTATACTCTACCATATTCTGGTAAACTCAACTTTTCCATACAAATTTACTTTCTTAAAACACAAACATCTGAAGCTATTTTGTACAAACAACCGGGATTTCTTATAACTTCTACCTCAATATTTTCTGTATGCTCGTAAAGAAGCTCTTAAGACTTAAAACAATTAGGGTATTACAAAGTCCCGATGGGAAAGCCCGCGAATTTCCCGACGCCCTGTAAAGTACAAAGTTACGTAAAACTCGTAGAGGTGCAGGCGACTACAAAGAATGCTAATACCCGGTTACTTAGTACTTGATAACTGCTATCAGTTATTTTTTTAATCTTATCTGGCTTGTTGCGATATTGCGTCGGTTGGTTCAAGTAATAAGAAATTGTTGGTTGCTATTTCACGTTCTGCGCTAATAACTAATTTTAGATACGAGAACATTAAGAAACACTGGGCTAAATATTGACATAAATTAAATTTTGTGATAAATAATTCCAAAAATTTAGGTAGAAATTTATTTAAAATTGTTAAAGAATTGACCTTTTTGCCAAGGAGATCAATTGTACGAGTATACTCGTACAGTGGGGTATTTATTGAAGTACAAAAATTGAAAAGCCTTTGCAGACTAGCAGGAATCCCCTGAGAGCGAGTTATGCAGACGTTTCCATAGCGATTAAATCTTCTCCATATCATTGTGATTCGAATGGAAGGCAGTAGGTAAAATTCGAAGGCCGTTCGGGTAATTAGTAGAAGAAGTGTGTGGCTAGCCAATTATCTCGTTATGTAACCATTAATGCTCGTTGCTCGCGCGTCTGAAGGGGAATTTATAAGCGGAAACGGACGATCTTCCGCCAAGTTGGTTTTTTTCAACGTCTTGATTTATCGGGTAATTGTTTCGGCTACTGTTTTAATAATGTCATTTTTTTATTTCGTTGTCGTGTAATAGTTTCGCACGGTTTTTTATGCACGTTCGGAATGCTGACATTTTATTTAAATTTCAAATTTTCGTCTGAGAAAAATTAATTATTTAATTTATTTTTGGATAATTGTACTTTATGCATTATTAATTTTGTGCAAATTTATTAACAAGTTTTACAACTTGTAAATTGTAATGTGCTTTAATTAACATGAGCGTCACCAACAGGGGGAAAATATTTTCCAAATATTCTTCCAAAGGGTTGGTTTTTTTAGTACTTTCACACAATTTTATTTACCTACAATACTATAACTTCTGCGTTCAACATACCTACGAGAAATAAGTATTTCTGTTATCAGTCTTATCTTTTTCGTTATCCTGTCGGCTTTATAAATTTTTCATTTCCTTTACCATTTGCATTCCATTCCGAATCCGTTTTGTAGGATTTAAACACTCGTACGTTTTGCCAAGTGCATTACAAACCGGCGGTGTGGATGGTACAGACCAACAGGAATAGCTGAGGACAATGCACACTACTTTACCCCATTTATTTTTAAGTTTAAAGTCGCGCAGGCTTCGTCTTTAACTATTTCTGTCGCAGTATGGATTACGTTCGTTCCAATCTTGCTTAGAGATAAGCAACAAACTTTATAATGAAGCAATTATTGTCAGAAAATCAGAAAACTTTTTACAGGAAGGGGCCTCCACGATGCGATCCAAATACTTTCACATAATTAGTTTTTAAAAATAAAACGTGACTTGGAAACGGTATCCTTTGGCAAAAGTTCCACATGTACCTTTCGAAGTTCATAAACATTGATATTTCCAGCTAAATATATCTAATAATAAGTTTTCAATGCAATTTCGATGTGTTCTTGGAATCTACTATCAGTACATTTCGGCTAATCTCTTAGTTATCTCGTTATTAACCTCATATTTTATATCAATAAATGTGCACTAATTCACAGTTGCCAGAAAATATCTACATACATCCATTTCTCCATTGAATAAAAAAGTTGTAAGGGAACCTGATGTTTTTAAAAACCTTTCTATGAATGCGGCTATTGTATGATTGCAATTTTTAATAACCCAAATCGTAAAGAATATGTATGCTATTGTTATTCTGGAGAACAATTTTCAAAATAAGATTAAAAATAATGACGGCTGAAGAAGATAAGATAATGGCATAAACCTTAAATTCCAACGGTTCTTTAAATTACGTGTGCTCTTTTTCTTAAATATTTGGCAAATAAACGAGAAGAATTAAACAATTTGCTAACCACAAACAAAAAAGAAATTAACTAGCTTAAGTATTGGAGTTATTTCTATTTAACAATACCACGCGATGGTTTACAAAGGATTGAGTTTTGTACTTAAGAAGTTGGCAGTAAATGTCAAAAATTATATTGGTAATGCTGATAAGTGAGCGTTTTAAATGCAAATTTTAGTAATACCTGAATACAAATTACCAAAAAATCAATCAGTTACTTTCCTTCGTCTTGGGATTGTTATTTTTACTTGTCTCTTTGTATCATTATCGGTGCGAATTGTGTATTTTAAAAATTATCGTATCAAAATGCATCCGTTCTTTTATAATATTTAAACAAACAACTTGGCGAGACATAAACACAAACAATATAAAAACATTTGATTGCGAAGATAATTCTCTCTTTCAAGTTTTGGAACCTTTTTAGATAATTACAATTATTGTTATTTGTTCTCTTTCGAAATTAGCGAAGTTTTCCTTCGAGAAATGCCACACTGACAAATAAGAAAGAAGAAAACAGAAACAATTCTTCATGTTGCCGATGTCTTTTGCACGACGAGACTCCACAAAGTTTCAGTCCAAACCATTTTACCTATATATTTCCATCGCACTTTACCTTCTGTGCATAAACTGACGCAATTAAGACAATTTTCCTCGAACTCCTGCAATTATTAATATTATTGCACATCGCCGTTTCCAAGAACAATCTCAAGAATTCGTTACTATTTTTTCACGTCGAGTATTCGAAACAAAAACGTCGAATATTATCTGCGCTATGGACTATTCATTTGCATATCTATCCAGTTTTTCTCGTCCACATATCACATTCCAGAAAAATTAGCACAGAAACGTGCGAATTAATTCGCGCGCTATCATCACCTTATTCCGTGACTCAGAGGATTGTAATAATGTTTGTTCCTTTCTAATTTTCTTATAATTTACTCATCCTTCCCATTGTGGATTAATAATACAGAAAAACATCTAGGTGGGTACCTTGAGGTATGGTCATTAGAGCTACACGTTAAGAGTTTCTAGGATATAATTAAGTGCGATGCAGATTGCAAGTATTGACTGAAGCTGGCTCTAACTTGGTTTATTTTTACGCAAGTCCGTAGGTGGATAAGGCAGACATGGAACGAATTGGACCTCACCCGTACGAACGATTGACCGTCACACAGCGATGCAACTTCATTAAGCGACCTTTGCACGCTGAGAAAATAATTAGTTTGACATTGAAGCATCGATATAAACCTAGTCTGCTAATCGTTTGCGAATTTTCGCTCGATCGCTCCGGCGTCGTTACGGCCTAACTAACCCCGAGACGAATCCGCCGCCGAAAGGAAAACAACGTAAACAAAGATAATGCACAATAAACGTCACATTGTCACACACGGTGACGTAGCCCGCTGGCTTACTTGACGATTATCGAGCTCGATGACCTCTAAGAAGAATGTCACATTGATTGCATAACAGTGTAGAAAACGCGAGCTGCCAAACGCGAAGATCTTCCTTCCCTTGTGGAGGTTTTCGATATTCTCGGTCGAGATACGCCCTGAAAGCGGCTTCCATTTCCGTGATACGGCTCGATGTGGAGGTAAATTCTAGCGCGCGTACGAGTTTCCTTGAGCAAACGCCGCGCCGGGGAAGCCGGAAAATGACATTTCGAAATTCTCCAGGTATTTATAGACGTTTTGTAAATTCGTAATTGTTAGAAAACGTTTTATTTATCCGTTCTTTAATTTGGGAGTCTAAATTTAGACCGATAAATCGCGTACAAATGCATTATTCACATTTTGGAGGTTAAAGCATCGGATTTCGTATGCATCTAGTACTACAGGGGCGGGTTCGTGAAAATGTACCTACCTAAACAATTTCTGTTATTTTTAGACTTGTAGGTCAATATATTAACGGTAAAAATGAAGAAATTTAAAAAGTTAAACATAGGGTCATACAGTGCGTTAAAAAATCTCTCCTTTCAAAACTCTTGTTGTTAAAAATTCCTTATTTTTTTAATCCCAATGTAGCTAATTTAACTGGTCTAGTTCATATTTGTTCAACTCCGTCGAAATTCAACCGTGTGGGTTATCTTGAAGTTTCATCTGACCCTTTACTTCATTTTAACAGCGACTATCTAAGCAAATATCTAAGCTCATTATACAGCCCGGTGGGTTAATTTAATTAACGGTGTCAGCCAAAGATGTCTCCTCGGTAATATTTTAAATGTTCCTGCAATGCTTCCTCGAACTTTTTGCTCTTCTTTGTGAAGTGAACAATTTTATGTTGTTACAACTACGACAAATTTTAAGGATCCTTCGAATCGTAACATCAGCTTTATTTTAAAATTTGAAAGGAATATGAAAAATAACAAAAAAATATTTGGGTCACAACAAGGCTATTCTTTCTTTTCCTTAATATTTACATGTCCTCCTGTTTATATAAATTATTTATATGTTGTCCCATATACTGAGCATCCTCCTGTTTACTCCAAATTTTCTTTATCCACCTATTTTTAGCATATTTAAAGTAAAAAAAGAAAAATCGTAATGCCCAATTTATGTCCAACCCATCGTCCTGCAACTTTA